GCTATGAGTCCCTTGGGAATAATTTAGCTTTCCTCCTGAAGAAAATCCAAAGCATTATCTTTATCTGTCACATTGAGATTAATTACCACCTCTGTCTGCAAATGAAGTTTGTTTTGAAGTTCAGTCAATTTGGAATGCTGTGAACACTCTGAATTGTGGATTTAGATATAAATGTTTTTACTTTATTTTGGATAAAATACCTACACAATGAGTTATGATTTCATTGAATTCTAAAAACAAGAAATAGATTAAAGAAAGCATATCTTTTATTTTTACTTTTTTTTTCCCTTTATGTAAATTCAAGAATAATATTAATTTTTAAAGTAGTTGGATTAAAAAAGCCATTCTAATATTAATACTGAAAAAGTTCTTATTGTAACTTTGGAAGAAAATGATGAGAGAGGTACAATTAATCCCTTGGGATTAATTATCTAGCCTGCTGAAGAAAATTTAGTAGTCCTATCTTTATCTGTCATTTTAAGATTAATGAAAATCTTTGTCTGCAACTGCTGTTTGTTTTGAAGTTAAGGTCAAGCCTTCTTGATACGTACATGTATTTGCATTCATTGAAGACTGGCATTTTATATAACACTAACACAAACTTCATTATTGTTTATATATACATTCAGTGTTAGGTTGTTCTTTACTGCCTAATGTAAATATAAAAGGCTATTATTTACAAGTTTTTGGATATTCAGGAATTATGTTGAAAATTTGAAGAATTCAATTGCTGTTGCTTATTTCTTCATATATTTTTTTATCATTCTGTAAGCTGCATCCTTATAATTCCACCCCATGGCGGGGCCCTTGCTGACTGGTCAGTTTTCTAGTTAAGTTTATGACCTTGGTCTTTGGACCTCAAAACCAATAAGGTCTTCTTAGGCCATAGGGATTTGAAGAGTTTTTCTTAGCTCATCTGAGCTGAAAGCTCAAGTGTCAGCTTTTCGGATCACATTTTGTCTGTCTACCAGTCTGTAAACTAAGTTTCACATTTTCAACTTCTACTAAAGAACAACTGGGCCATTTTCAACCAAACTTGCCACTAAGTATCTTTGGGTAAAGGGGATTCAAGTTTGTTCAGTGAAGGGCCACATCTTCTTCCAAGGGGAGATCATTACAAATTAGTACATGTAGTAATAAATTAATGACATCTTTTAAAAATCTTAAGAACTACTAGACCAGAAAAGCTGAAACTTATGTGGAAGCCTCCTCAGGTAGTGTAGATTCAAGTTTGTTCAAATTATGACCCCCAGGAGTAGGGTGGGCCACAATGGAAGGTCAGTTTTACATGGGAACAATCTTTTAAAAAAATCTTATCCAGATCAGCAAAGCCATGAGTAGTAATATTTATAGGGAAACATCCTTAGGTAATGTAGATTCAAATTTAATCATGATCAAATTTAATACCCCCTGGGGTAGGATGGGGACAAAATGGATGATCAAAGATTTATAGAGGAATACATGTTAGGAAAAATCTTCTAACCACTGGACCAGGGAAATTGAAACTTATGTGGAAACATCAGAAGTAGTGTAGATTCAAGTTTATACAAATCATGACCCCAGGGGTAAGGTAGGACCACATTGGATGATCAAAATTTTACATAAAAATACAATAGAAAAACCATTTTCTCCAAAACCAATGGGCCAGGAAAAATGAAACTTTTGTGGAAACTTGCTCAGTCTGTGATTTCTTTCTTCAAATCATGCCCCTCCCAGGAGTGGGGTGGGGCCACAATGAACCATCAAATTTTCCATAGGAATACATAGGAATTTTTTTAAAATCTTCTCAGCAACAGCAGAGCCATGATTGGTCAAATTTATATGGAAGTCCTCTCAGGTAGTGTTGCTTCAAGATTGTTCAAATCATACCTCCTCTCCTTAGGGATAGGTCGATACCACTCAAAAATACCGAACTAGCCAAAGTGCTCAGGTGAGCAATATGGCCAATGGGCCTTTTGTTCAAGTTGGCATTTTAAAAATTTCATGGTCATTAGAATGACCTTGTTAGCAAATATATCTTATCAATGGGTTGTCTTTTGACTGACTTGTTTCATTGTAAAACCTTTGTTTTTATACTGAAGTGACTATGGAAAGTTCTATCTACCCGTAGCAGCTAATCAATACATAGGGCTCATGACAGGTGTGAATGGTCAACAGGGGATGCATACTTCTCCTTGGCATCTGATCCGCTTTTTATGCCCTTTTTCACATTCAATTTATTTTACCCCACCAAATTTTCACTTTTTTCTTACTAATGATAGTTGGTGTCAAGTTTTATTGAAACTAGGACTCTAAAGAAGACAAAAATATGAAAAGTTTATGAACAAATTTTTGATCAGAAAAGCTCATTTGAGTCTTGGGCTGAAAGCTCTATAGTTAGCATCTCTGAACAGCATCTGTCCATTTGTAAACTTAAACATTTGTTACATTTACACAAGGCCAATTTTAGCCAGATTTGGACAAAGCATCCATGGATGGGGAAGATTCTATATTGTTTCAAACAAGAGATAAATGTAACCCCCCCCCCCCTCCCCAACACATATTATAGGTGCGCAATGAAAGCAAATAATTGGAATTCTTCAAGTCCAAGGGGCACACAACTCTGTCAAAAAATACTAATTGTACTCAATGCAGAAAATGACCTAGGATTTTTTTGTTGATGGTAAATACTTTTTTTTGAAAAGTTAAGAAAATGTATTAAATGTTTACTGAGATTTTTATCAAAAATTTAAAATTTATTTTCAAAAAAAAAAAAAAAAAAAAAAAAAAATTCCCTCCCTCCTGTGTCAGAAACCCTTCAGGCGGCAATTCCAAACAAACAATTTTTTAAGGATGGCCTACCATTGGATTTTTTTTTCCAAGTAAATGGGGCATAACTCTTTCAATGTTTTGTTAATTTTTTCCAGCCATTTCGCTAGTGGTTCTAGAGATGTTACCAATTTTTCATTATTTCTTAATTAGATGTATCTCTCTTTGAAAAAAAGTACCCTGTAGCTTTTTATTTTTCTTTCAGCTGAGAATGCATATGGCAAATTTTGTTCAAATTAATTGACCAAAAAAAACCACAAGAGTCTGAAGTTTTTATCATCAAAAAAAATCTGGAAAAAAAATTCCCACCCTCAAGTCAACTAAGAAACTGTTTTTCATTTGAGGGTGGGAATTTCTTTCTATATATATATATTTTTTTTTTTTTTTGGACGATAAAAACTTCAGACTCCTGTGGAAAAATGCTGGCTGACAGCTACATGTAAGGTGAGCTACTCTGAGTACTCTCTCCTTACTCCATGATTTTTTTCCAATTTGATTTGTCAAGTATTTTAGGAAATGAAAAGTTTGGTACATGTATTATCAACATTTTCCAGATTTATTAATATTACATGTATACTTGTACATACTGAATGAAACGAAATGGTTTCTTTTTCCCACCATAAGAAAAAGATATACTTAGCTCAAAAATTGAGTGCATGAGCAAAAGAGACCAGAAGTCTCTGTCGAGACTGAAGCTCTACTGGTTTGTACTTATAGCAATTGGGAATTGAAACTTTTCAACAGCAATAAATAGAATAATGATCCTTAATTAAGTCTCTTTATGTTCTTAGTGTAGTCTTTGCATGCCACGTTATATTATAATCAAACTAAAACTGTATTTGAAGTAGCATTTTGAGAGTATTTAACAGAAATTTCTATTTTTAATAACCGTGGCAACACTGTTCATTGATAAACTGATAAACAGAATTATTTACCTTAGTGTAGTCTACTTGTGTGCCAAGTTATATTGAAATCAGACCAAAACTGTAGGAGGTGTAGCATTTTGAAAGAATTTCACAGAAATTTCTATTTTTAGTAACCACAGCAACACCGCTCATCGAAATCAAAAACCGATAAACAGAATTATGTATCTTAGTGTAGTCTACTTGTGTGCCAAGTTATATTGAAATCAGACCAAAACTGTAGGAGGAGTAGCATTTTGAAAGAATTTCAAAGAAATTTCTGTTTTATGTAACCACGGCAACACCGTTCATCGAAATAAAAAACCGATACACAGAATTATGTATCTAAGTGTAGTCTACTTGTGTGCCAAGTTATATTGAAATCAGACCAAAACTGTAGGAGGAGTAGCATTTTGAAAGAATTTCACAGAAATTTCTATTTTTAGTAACCACGGCAACACCGCTCATCAAAATCAAAAACCAATAAACAGAATTATGTATCTTAGTGTAGTCTACTTGTGTGCCAAGTTATATTGAAATCAGACCAAAACTGTAAGAGAAGAAGCATTTTGAAAGAATTTCACAGAAATTTCTGTTTTATGTAACCACGGCAACACTGTTCATCGAAATCAAAAACCGATGCACAGAATTATGGATCTTAGGGTAGTCTACTTGTGTGCCAAGTTATATTGAAGTCAGACCAAAACTGTAGGAGGAGTAGCATTTTGAAAGAATTTCACAGAAATTTCTATTTTTAGTAACCACGGCAACACCGTTCATCGAAATCAATAACCGATACACAGAATTATGTATCTAAGTGTAGTCTACTTGTGTGCCAAGTTATATTGAAATCAGACCAAAACTGTAGGAGGAGTAGCATTTTGAAAGAATTTCAAAGAAATTTATATTTTTAGTAACCACGGCAACACCGTTCATCGAAATCAAAAACCGAAACACAGAATTATGTATCTTAATGCAGTCTACTTGTGTGCCAAGTTATATTGAAATCAGACCAAAACTGTAGGAGGAGTAGCATTTGAAAGAATTTCACAGAAATTTCTATTTTTAGTAACCACGGCAACACCGTTCATTGAAATCAAAAACCGATAAACAGAATTATGTATCTTAGTGTACTTGTGTGCCAAGTTATATTGAAATCAGACCAAAACTGTAGGAGGAGTAGCATTTTGAAAGAATTTCACAGAAATTTCTATTTTTAGTAACCAGGGCAACACTGATCATCGAAATCAAAAACCGATATACAGAATTATGTATCTTAGTGCAGTCTACTTGTGTGCCAAGTTATATTGAAGTCAGACCAAAACTGTAGGAGGAGTAGCATTTTGAAAGAATTTCACAGAAATTTCTATTTTTAGTAACCACGGCAACACCGTTCATCAAAAAATCAAAAACCGATACACAGAATTATGAATCTAAGTGTAGTCTACTTGTGTGCCAAGTTATATAGAAATCAGACCAAAACTGTGGGAGGAGTAGCATTTTGAAAGAATTTCAAAGAAATTTCTATTTTTAGTAACCACGGCAACACCGTTCATCGAAATCAAAAACCGATATACAGAATTATGTATCTTAGTGCAGTCTACTTGTGTGCCAAGTTATATTGAAATTAGACTAAAACTGTAGGAGGAGTAGCATTTTGAAAGAATTTCACAGAAATTTCTATTTTTAGTAACCACAGCAACACCGTTCATCGAAATCAAAAACCGATACACAGATTTATGTATCTTAGTGTAGTCTACTTGTGTGCCAAGTTATATTGAAATCAGACCAAAACTGTAGGAGGAGTAGTATTTTGAAAAATTGTTTACAGACAGACAGACAGACAGACGGACGGACGACGGACGCATTACTATCGCATAAGCTCTTCTGGTCTCTGACCAGTAGAGCTAACAAAGCAATTTCATTCACTTGCTGAGCACTACTAAAGCCATAGAATATTACAATCATTGATCATTCATATTCTACATTGTACATGAACAAAGTTTGTTTCTTCTGCTCTTGATATAACATGTATATGACAATTATTTAACACACAGTATACAAACTATTTTTTTTAAAATAATAAAACAATTTTCTAAACCAATACTAGTATCACAGACTTCAAATCACATATCTTGGTAAAACATGAAAAAAAAATATACATAGTTTTTGGTATAAAGTGATCTCATTCATTTGAGTCAAATATAAACAAATTATAAATAAATACAAAAAGAATTTTAACAATTTAAATAATCATAGTACTGCTAATCAGCCAGTTTCTGACGATGCTAATTAGCATGTTTCAAAGAAATTTTGAACTAATATCAGACCTCTATTTCTTTTCCTTTTTCATGTAAGGATGAAGAGAAGCAAGATGGTGTTGTTTTCTGGACAAACCCAACCTGATTGGTTTTTTGCAAGATAATATTGGCAATATTCTACAGGGTAAATCATGGCCTGAAAAATTTAAAAAATTATCTAAATAAATATACAAGAAATTATCATTAAGAGACTATTTGAATGACATCTAAATATAATAGGCTGTACAGATTTCAATTTCTTTTTTTTTAGCTGATCAATTATAAATTACATTAAAAATATTTTCAATATGTTTTCTGGCCAAAGCTAGACAGGTTTCTAAACAAGAGGCCCATGGGCCACATTGCTCACCTGAGAACATTGGCTAGGAAATAAAAGCAGAAATCACTTCAGTATTGAGAAGTTTACATTGGGGTGGGGGTGTCTGAAATATTAAACTACCAACTACATGATGATGCTTCCATACAACAAATGCCTTTGCTGTGTTTGAGCAGATGATTTTTCCCCCTATTTATTCATTTGACCCTCCCCCCAATGTGACCCAGTCCTACCCCTGGGAGCCCTCATTTGAACCAGAATGACTTTGTACTACCTGAGGATGCCTCCATATCAATATGATTAATCATGGCTTTTCTGTTCTTGGGACAAAAAATTTCCTGATATTTCTAGGTAAAACTTTGATTCCCATTCGTGGCCCACCCTACCCAACCCCTGCCTCCCATTCATCACTTGAACAAACTTGAATCAACACTATGTGAGGATGCTTACATAAAGGTATGACCAATTATGCCTTTGTGGTTCTAAAAAAGAAGAGTTTTAAAAAATTTTGATTTTCTAATTTTCCAATGTGGCCCCGCCTTACCCCTGGGGGTCATGATTTGAACAAAATGGAATCTACACTACCTCAGGATGCTTCCATATAAGTTTCATCTTTACTGGCCCAGTGGTTCTTGACAAGAAGATTTTTAAAGATTTTTCCTATATATTCCTGTGTAAACCTGTGATCGTCAATTGTGGCCCCGCCATACCCCCCGGGTGGGTCATGATTTGAACAAACTTGAATCTACACTACTTGAGGATGCTTCCATTTAAGTTTCATCTTTCCTGGCCCAGTGGTTCTGGAGAAGAATATTTTAAATATTTTTCCTATATATTCTTATATAAAACTTTGATCAGATTTGAACAAAATTGAATCTAGACTACCTGAGGATGCTTCCACATGAGTTTCATCTTTCCTGGCCCAGTGGTTCTGGAGAAGAAGATTTTTAAAGATTTTTTCTATATATTCCTATGTAAACCTGTGATCGTGCTAAGTGAAGATCAAAATTTGTAGCTCTTCACTGGCAAGTGGCGGCATCTCCATATGAGTGAAAAAATTCTTGAGAGGGATGTTAAACAACATAAAATCAATCAAGATCACCTATATACAGGGATTACTCGGTATTTGAAAATAACCCCCAATTTTTTTTTCATTTCTCGATTATCTCCTCATAAAAGAGGATATATGACTCTTCAATTGAAGATCTTTGAAACATCTTCATCACCTTAGAATGCTGTAGAAGAAGATGAAAGGTGTAAAGTTTATAGAAGACAGTCCACAGATGGATGGACAGATGCAGGTCAACCTTGGATCTAAAAAGCTCACATTGCATAAGACTCATGTCAGCATAATGAGCTAAAACTTATACAATCATCTCCCATTTTCTTACTAAGGCTGTTATTTTCATGTTCTTACTTTCTTTCTCTGTATCAGGAACAACGGCATCCATATCATCATCATAAGATGGAGTGTATTTCCACTTGAAGCACTTAGTATTTGGTTCAAACACACCATGAACAGAATCTAGAGTCATAAGTATAAATGGCTTTCTATTAAAACATGAAGGTAAAACAACTTTTATCAGGGAAGAAATTGGGCATTCAATATACTGTAGATTCCTAATTATACACGAGGAATTAATTTCCGCGTAATTTCGTGAGAAGCTTCACTTGTGAAAAAGACCATACATGTACTCCCTTTTATTTTTATGGGGCTGAAGTCTGATTAACCATCCATTCGCGAATTATAATTAAATTCTCGCGATTTGACGTTAAACACCCAGTTCATGATAAAAAGTACTGAAAAATAAGGAATCTACAGTAAAATGTGCTAAAAAAGGATATACTGAAGTTCAACTGTATTACATATACATGTACTATTTCACAGGTATCCCCATGCATGTAATAAAAATACTATATATTTAACATACTTTTTATAAGATTTGATCTTCATCTATTACCTTTTCGTTCATTCTGCAAAGAAGTTTCTTTTGCACCAACATTTCTGTATTTATCACATCTGTGATTCTCATCTGAAAGTATTCAGTAAAATAGGATACATTTATCAGTTTACAGTGAAATGGATTTTATCATTTACCAGAGCTTACACCATTAGGATATTGTATCCATAATGAATTATTATAGATTACTGATTATTTATCACTGAAATAGTTAAAATCAAAGTATTTTGTAATGTTTTTTAAACCTATATTTGAATTTATACTATTACATGTAATTTTACACACCATCATAAAATGATTCTCCATCATATGTTTCTGTAGGTTCTTTATTCATTGTGGACGGAACCATCTGTTCTGTTGATTTTACAGTTTTCTGCATTTCTTCAAATACATATCCCTCTACTTCTCTATATGTGCATTTGTCCTCATCCTTTGCTTCTAAATCAGGAATATTATTGCTAACCAATGTCTTACTCAGATTAGCATTACCATGATTTTCATCCAGTTCTGAAACTTTCCTCTCTACTTCACTGGCCTCCTCTTTTGACTGCTTTTCTTGGTAAAAATTTAGGGGTACAAGACTCTCTAATTGTCCAACACTTAAATTGTCTTGTATAATTTCAATGTTTTTCTTGGCTGTATCATCTAAATTTTGTTTTTCTTTCTTCATGTCTATGTCGACAGTAGCATCTAGCGTATTCTCATTTGGATCCTCTTCACTGTCATCGTCACTATTTATTCTGGCTAACAGGTGAGTTTCACATTGTTTCTCATCAGTATGATGGTTTTGAAAGATACTCAATTCTTCATCTTCTAGTTTTATTCGTTTGCATGGAATCAATTGTTCCATATCCAAAGGAAAACCATTTTGAACATCACTCTTAATAAGCAATGTATCTTGCTTCATATTATCAGACATTTTGGTTTCTGATAATTTAATTAAGCATTTGATGTCCTTTGCCTCAGTTTTCAATGACATGCACTGTGAATCAGCAAGATCTAATTCAAAGACTTTATCTTGCTCCCTCATCTTAGTTTGTTTCATTTCTGTACAGTTCAATGTGTAATTTTTTGACTTGGTTTCTGTTACTGCTGGTTGTAAAAGACTTTCATGTGCATTCTGATCAGCCTTAGAGCAAAAATTTTCTGTATCTGTTTCATTTTCTAGTGTCATTGATGGGGATAAACCTAAATAATTGATAAACTTCATTTTCCCATCACAATCATTTCTTTCATTGTCTTTGGATTCCAGCTCAAAGTCACAGTCTTCATATCCCTGTACCATTTTTGAACTTGTGGTTTCACATTTGCTTGGATTTTCTATAACTGGTATTTCGCTGCTTACATTTTCATTTTGTTTACAGTTTAAAAACCTTTCCTCATGACAGTGATCTTTCAACAAGCGAATTTTATCCTTCATTTTGAGAGGGCTTGTATCAATTTGTTTTCCTTTTTCATAGCAGTGGTTCATCCCATGGCCCTCAATGAACTTTAAAGCCAGACTTTTAAGACTTTCAATGCCTTGACTGTCAGCTGTTGGTCCAAGCAACACTTGTTCACAGAGACACCTTAGTGATGGTAGATTATGGGGGACAAGGTTTACATCATTTACATTGAAACAAACATCTCTGGTTCCAGCATCAACCTCATTCAACCCCTGTTCAAATTTTAATTTCTCTCCACTATCATGATTTACAAGCATGTTCTCAACTGCATGATTTTCCATAATGTTTCCTTCCTGATTCAAAGGCTTGTTCTTGAACTCCCAATTTTCTGACATATTCTTCTCCCTTATTTTGTCATCTGTTAAATTTTCCTCAAGGACATCAGGCAAACAAACATAGTTCCAATTATTGTCATTCAAATATGCTCCATAATTGGGGTTTCCACTTCCTTGCAAAAATTTAGAGACATTCGTTGAGTTTTCTCTGAAGATGTAATCTGAGGTATTATTTTTATCTGCAATTTCACAGCATTTAAGTAACAAAAGATCCATCACTTCATATACATCTTCAGCATTTTCTTCATCTATTGATAAGTTCATGACTCCAGTCAAACCACTCTGTTGATCCTGAATTGATTCCCTTTGGTTTGAAGGCTCAGTTGAGATAGTTTTTGCACTTTCATCTACATCATCTAGGGAGTCTAGTAACTCATTCATTATGTGACATACTTCACTGGAAACATTTTCATGAGAATTAGAGTCATTTTGTATAATTTTGTCAGTATGCACTTCATTGCAGCATTTCTCCAAAACCTCCTCCAACATGGTGGAAATGATTTGATGTGAATATCTTACTGATGACATATTCACCTATAGATTAAAAAAAAAAAGATACTTTCAGAAGACAGTAATATATACAAACATAGGTTTCATTTTCTTAATTATGCTATAGCAGGGGCCAGGGGACACATGCATTTATTCCTTGAAACACCCCAAGAAAATATTACACATTTTTTTTATATTGATTAAAGATCGAATTAACACAACAGAATCTAGCACATTTGTTTAGTATAATTTGCCTTTTTAACTAGCAAAAGACATTCATGGCAAATTAAAAATAAATTCTTATTACAAATGTGATGGCATCTATTTTTCTATCACCATCTTCCCTAGCTTGCTAGTCTCCCAGCTGAGCTGATTTGAAAAGCAAGAGCATGTTATTTGTACAAACAATTTCTGAAATGGGGAAAGCTGATGAAAAATAAGTTAGGTCGATTTATACACTGACCTTGCTAAAAAATAAAGTTTTGTGAAATGCTTTTTGTAACAAGAGGCCCATGGGCCACATCGCTCACCTGAGCACTCTGGCTGGGAAAAAGTAGAAATTGGATTATTATTGAATAGTTTATATCCAAAAGTAGTCCCATGACCAATCATGGCTTTGCTTTTCTTGATAAGATGATTTTTAAAGAATTTTCCTATATATGTCTATGTAAAACTTTGGTCGGCCATTGTGGCCCCGCCCTACCCCCGGGGGTCATGATTTGAACAAACTTGAATCTACACTACCTGAGGATGTTTCCATATAAATATGATCAATTATGGCTTTGTTGTTCTTGAGAAGATTTTTAAAGAATTTTCCTATATATTTCTATGTAAAACTTTGGTCGGCCATTGTGGCCACGCCCTATCCCCGGGGATCATGATTTGAACAAATTTGTATCTACACTACCTGACGATGCTTCCATATAAATATGATCAATTATGGCTTTGTTGTTCTTGAGAAGAGGATTTTTAAAGAATTTTCCTATATATTTCTACGTAAAACTTTGGTCGGCCATTGTGGCCCCGCCCTACCCCCGGGGGTCATGATTTGAACAAACTTGAATCTACACTACCTGAGGATGTTTCCATATAAATACGATCAATTATGGATTTGTTATTCTTGAGAAGAAGATATTTGAAGAATTTTCCTATATATTTCTATGTAAAACTTTGGTCATTCATTGTGGCCCCGCCCTACCCCCGGGGGTCATGATTTGAACAAACTTGATTCAACACTACCCGAGGATGCTTTCATAAAAATATGATCAATTATGGCTTTGTTATTCTTGTGGAAAGGACTTATATAGGCAGTGCCTGCTTTCCAATTCAATTATGTTTATTCATAATAAAATATTGTTTAAATTAAAAAATTCAATTATTCTTGAGAAGAAGATTTTTAAAGAATTTTCCTATATATTTCTATGTAAAACTTTGGTCGGCCATTGTGGCCCTACCCCCGGGGGTCATGATTTGAACAAACTTGAATCTACACTACCTGAGGATGCTTCCATATAAATATGATCAATTATGGCTTTGTTATTCTTGAGAAGAAGATTTTTAAAGAATTTTCCTATATACTATGTAAAACTTGAATCTGAACAAACTTGAATCTACACTACCTGTCAGAGGATGCTTCCATATAAATATGATCAATTATGGCTTTGTTATTCTTGAGAAGAAGATTTTTAAAGAATTTTCCTATATATTTCTATGTAAAACTTTGGTCGGCCATTGTGGCCCCGCCCTACCCCCGGGGGTCATGATTTGAACAAAATTGAATCTATACTACATGAAGATGCTTCCATATAAATATGATCAATTATGGCTTTGTTATTCTTGAGAAGAAGATTTTTAAAGAATTTTCCTATATATTTCTATGTAAAACTTTGGTCGGCCATTGTGGCCCCGCCCTACCCCCAGGGGTCATGATTTGAACAAACTTGAATCTACACTACCTGAGGATGTTTCCCCACAAGTTTCATCTTTCCTGGCACAGTGGTTCTTGAGAAGAAGATTTTTAAAAGATACCACCAAATTTCCATTAATTCCCAATTATCTCCCCTTGAATCAGGGTGTGGCCCTTCATTTGAACAAACTTGAATCCCCTTTACCCAAGGATGCTTTGTGGCAAGTTTGGTTGAAATTGGCCCAGCGGTTCTTGAGAAGAAGTCGAAAATGTAAAAAGTTTACAACGACGACGACGACGACGACGACAACAACGACAGACAACGGACAAATTGTGATCAGAAAAGCTCACTTGAGAAATTTTTTGAGTACGAACTCGAGCTTTTTTTTCAATTACACAAGCGGTCTATTTAGAACTCTTCAGTAATGGCGGCCCCCATGTAATATTTACGATGGTGATTTGTGGCAGTATTCCAATGGATATACACTAATAGAGGTGAGTTCATTTGTTTATTTTCCATTAAAACGTTTGAAATTATATTTTTTTCCAGAAATTCTTTTGAAATTACATATGATTTCTGCAAAATGTAAAGGGTTGTTTACTTTGTATCCGACGACAAAGTACAATATTGTCTGCATGTATACAGAGTGTGACTAAAATGGGTAGCGAAACCCGGGCCAGGCCGGGAATTCGGAAAGTGAAAACCGGGTTTTGACAATTACGGAATGAATACTCGTTCTGTCTTCATGAAATTTACAGACATAGTACTGTGTTTATGAAATGAACATGACTTTTCATGTGTTAATATTCAATTTCTCTGTTGATTTTTTGTACACAAAATTAGGGCTGGGACGATACAACTTTTTTATATCACGATATTTGAGCCATGATACAATATGTATCACGTTTGATAAATTGGTTATAAAATCTTTTTTTGCATGGAAATAAATAAAATATACCTTTGCAAGTAAGAATAACTTATTCCAAATAGTTGTTTATACATGTATATCTTAATCAAGTGGTGTTTAGACATGTAATTATCATTTATTTTATAATTCACATTATTATCTATACATGTATTAATTTTTTATATATATCCCAAAGTATAAAATAAACAAAGAAAAACAGAAATCAGAATATTTTTTGTGATGTCTTGATATTTCTTCATATGTATCGATATGCATATCGTTCCTCACACAGAGTTGATATTATCAATATCTCGATATATCGTCCCAGCCCTACACAAAATAAATAATGTAATTCATTATTCTGACTTGATGTTTTCTTTAAAAAAAAAACATGGCTTATGATTGAGGCCAATTAATAAAAATACGAGGGGCATTTCAAAAGTCCTGAGAACTGTTTAATAAAAAATTAACCGTTTCACGGGAAATATTGAGTTTGATATCATTAGAAAGATCAGAAATATATACACATATTTTGACGTCACTTGATAATTTTCATGACGTAATAGCTCCGAAAATGACGTCAGAATATAGAATGTTTAGCATACTGAAAAGTTGCGTTTTTATCCACATGAGACAATTTTAAAAGTGCAGCAAAAGGCTTATTTGAAAAAATATTTCAAAGAAAATTATAATTTGCAAAGAGGAAGAGAAAGGGCTATGGCACTGTTTATCAACAATTCCATATTTCATTGTATGGTTTGTTTTTTTAGCAAGGTTTATGTCCGGTAATAGCATCATCGACATTCATTTAAGATTTTACGTTAGATGATACGACTGGACTTTCGGTCTTTTTTAAAGCTCTCCATTGTATGAAATAAAAAATGTTATGTATAAAACTGAAGTATATTAATGCAGTTTTCAACATATATATTTTGGGTAACAGTACTCTTACTTTTTACAAATAAAATGTACAAAAGTCTTGCCCCTGACTTGTTTCTGTGCATATTTTTTCTTAATAATTCAACTTCTGCACCCCAAAACTCACTACTGCTTTTGACTTTTGAATCCAAAAAAGGTTTATAAGTTTCACAGACATGTAAAGACTTATTTAATTTCCATGAATTAAAATTTGCGAATGTTTGGAGATACGGCGAGGTTACAACTGCGCCTGCGCCATTTTTGGATTTTACGAGAAAATATGGGCACACTAAACTTAACTTCTCTTGAGCCTTCATCAATTACACAAATCTGGTTAAACTACCTGACGATTTGATGCCATCAAATTTTGTAACATGATCGCCTATTTTCCCTTGATTGTCAACTTTGCCTTTTTCTGACAGTTAGGTCTGTCTTACGGAATATTTTTAGCGAGATTCGATAAAAACATGCTATGTTTGACACTCGCTTAAACCATTTCAGAACAAGAAGATTTCCGAAATCGAACACCAAATGATAGATTGAAGTCTATGTAAAAATTCCACCAACTGGCATTTGTGTCCGATAGCTTGCGCCCGAGTAATGAGCAAAAGTTGTTTTTAAAATTTTTATTTGATTAAATTGCGTCTTTTGTTATGTCATTTTTATGGCCAGTATCGTAAGCATGTGGAAGTCTGACGTCATTTTCTGAGTTATTACGTCATAAAAATTATCAAGTGACGTCACAATATGTGTATATTTTTCTGATCTTTCCGATGATATCAAACTCAATAATTTCCGTGAAACGGTTAATTTTTTATTCAACAGTTCTCAAAACTTTTGAAATGCCCCTCGTAATTTTAAAAACAAAATAGAAACAGAAAAGAGGAAAAACAAATCCATAAGTTTATGATTTTTAGTCTTTGTTTTTGTAGAAATTTAAAACAAGAACCAATTAAATATTTACTGACTCTGCAAGTAGGTAATAACTATCTTCTAATTTGTTATTTGTGACCGTTGATGCTGATTTAAGGATTGTAAACTGAGTTTTACCGACGACACATAAGCAACCGATAAATCAGCATTAGGCCATTCCAAGTTTTTTCTATGTTAAGACTAGTGTCCATGTGCGCCTTAGTTTTGACACCCCATATGAGAAAAAACACACAACAGGAGTCCTCTGAAATTGATAAATCTAGTCGAAGTTTTTGAATTTTGTATATTCTCCAAATAATTTTGTACAGTAAGTTATATTGGTGTATTGTAAGCATTTAATCTGTTGTTTTTGCTTAAGATTAGATATTTCTTCTATTAAAGCAGTTTAGTTAGATCAAATCATTTGAAGGACGTCATTTTTATGACTTTTAAGCTTGTGTTTTATGTTTTGGGTTGTGTGTTTTTTGCGAATAGGTAGGTAGGTTTTTGAAAGATGAGTGGACGCTAAACAGAGAAAAAAATTGGAATGGCCTTACATGTCTTATCACAAATACTAACTTAGAAGATAGTTGCTAGTATTCCCATTCCAATGCATTTTGTTAATGTTTGTTGTTTATTTCTTTTTTTTTTTAGTTTTGTTATAAGAAATACGTTTATTTTTTAAAGCTAAGACATGCCATATATAGCTATAAAATGTTTTTACTTTCAACAGCCAAAGAAAAAAGATTTTTAAAGAAAGAATGCAGATAGACAGGTGGTGGACAAGCTGAAGTGGAACTGTCAGAGGCAGAGGGGGTGTGTCTAGAGACAAGATGGAAGACCAAGCATTTCATGCCTAGAAGCAGGCTTTGAAAGTGGAGGTATAAGGGAGAAAAGAACCATGCTGACTCTGTAACTATCTTACTTAACAATAGAGTGTATGAATTTGATCACTACTAGACTATTGTTTTCATGTCAGTCCTAGTTTTGCGTTGCAAACTGTAAATCCGTTGAGTCAGAAAGGGATGTATGAATGGTGACTGGAAAATAAATGACACTCAAATGCTTCACTTTTTAGCTAAACTGAGTCGAAGGCTCAGGTGAGCTTTTCTTATCAAAGTTTGTCCGTTGTCTGTTGTTGTTGTTGAAAAGTGATAACTAACTACTTGCACTTATATTTGAGACTTATTTACAACATATGCATGCAAAGTTTTAAACCAGTGAAATTATATATTTTCAAAGCTAAAGGTATAAAATAGAATTTGTTGAACTTGTCTACCACTTTAACACTCTTTAACAAACTTTCTTATCAAAGTTTGTCCGTTGTCTGTTGTTGTTGTTGAAAAGTGATAACTAACTACTTGCACTTATATTTGAGACTTATTTACAACATATGCATGCAAAGTTTTAAACCAGTGAAATTATATATTTTCAAAGCTAAAGGTATAAAATAGAATTTGTTGAACTTGTCTACCACTTTAAATATATGTTATATTTTTAAGGTAATAGTAAAGTCAGCAGAGAAGAGGAAGATTGATGAGAGGATAAGAACATCTTGGTAGACACAAAAAGAATTAGGCTTGAAGAAAAGAAAATTAGACTTAAAAATATAGTTATTCTTCCTGGGTATCTTATCCCAAAGTACTCATGTAAAGATACAATATGATACAAAAACCAAAAGGTTTTGACAATTTAATAAGAGGGAAAATATTTTTTTTTGCTGAATTTGTATCTCAGAGAATCCTAAGAGCTTTCAAAGACTGTTTGATTGGCAATTGTTTGGAAAATTATATTTTAATATTTTTATACATGTATTTTTTAGGACTGAAGTTAATCTTAATTAAGTTCAGTTACTGCAAAAATTTTCCTAAGCTTTTGATTGCTATAAAATGCTGTTTATATTCATTAATCTGTTGTAATTTTGAGAAGCAGAAAAGGAGATAGCTCAGGGTTTAAACTTAACTTATATTATTTTCCGTAGAGCTACATTTCTGCAGCTAAAAAGGAGATACACATTTTTTTTTTTCAAATGCCACCCTTACACCAAAATTTTTTTCCTGTAAATTTACTTGACCTTAACTTAAGGTACATGTATTTCAAAATATACTCAACAAAGAAGAAAGTTATTTTTAGAGTGTGTTGTGATAAAATTTCAATCATTCCTATGTTGCAAATTGAAAAATTAAGTTGATGTCATTTTCATCGCCCCCAAATTCAAGGGGCATAACAATATGTACTGTGTGACGTCTCAATGCTAGTGAGTTTTTTTTTCTCAAATCAATTTTTTTTGAAACTTTAAATTTTGCTCTAGTATACATGGTATACAAAATGTCATTGGAATGTAATTCACCCAATTTATTTGTTTATTTGTTTGTTAATTATTTTACTTATCTTGGTCCCACTCTGACGTATACAGGTAATAATTTTCATAAAGCTCGATTAAAATTGGATATTCAGGGGAGGAATATATGTTTAAACTATGTTAAATTATGCTGAAAGTGGGGAAAAATAACTCATCATTGATGATCTATCATGAACTCTGTTGCTTACCTCTTTTTATTCAGTATTATAAAGTTTTAATTGAAATTATTGGAGTCAGAAAATTGTATATCATGGTATATTGAAAAGTATTTACCAAGATATGTTTGACAAATTGAGACAAGTTCTTGTACAAAATATAATTGGTTACTGAATGCAAAATACTTTTTAAAAGTGTTTAAAATATTGTACCCAACTTGGCAAGCAATGTTATTGTAGATCACTTAATTTTCGCGACACCTTATTTTCGCGAGATAGTAATTGACTCTTGATTAGTGAGACAAAATTTTCACGAATTCTGGTTATTGCTCTATATAATCTTAAGGAATTCTTTTATACATTTTGAAGCACACTGTCTGCGTAATTACGCGAAAATAAAGTTTTCGCGAATAAAAAGTGATTTACGGTATCTTAAAACAAATGTATGGATATTTCATTTATATATATTCCTTTTGAGCTTTACATTCTGTATTTTGTAATTATGTTATCTGACTATGTTATCTGATAAGTCATAAATAAAGAAACTGTTGATAAGTTGTTTGGGGAATTATAATTATTCAAATCAATATGTATACAGTATTTATCAATACTGATGTCATAGAAATTATGAATTGTAAGAATTTTGACCCATACCAGGGTAGTAACAGGCGTTTTACTAATTCACTATTCCTTGTCTGAAAAAGAGAAAACAATATGTGTTTGTGAAACACTGATGCCCTCATATATGGCAACATAGCAAAGATTAAACTTTTCTTAAATGCAAATTTAATTAATTGGTACGAAAAGTAGGGTATTCTCGCTGGAAAACAATTGTGAGATTTGAATAGGCCAATGTTTAAGTTATTTCATGAAGTACAAAAATCTCCAAGGTCAACATTATAAGGTCAAGGTAATTGGTATCCAATGAAAGGTCTTGTCACATAGAATACTTGTTTACAGTATGGAACCCTTAGCCCTAACAATTCAGAAGTTATGGATAAGTTTAAAAAAATTTAAGAGTAGGTCAAACTCCAAGGTCAAAGTCAAAGGGTCAATGTTCTTGTTATCAAATGAAAGGTCTTGTCACAAGAATTAAATATGTAAAGTATAAAAGCACTAATCCTAACCCTTCAAAAGTAATGGTCAAGGTTTTTCTTTTTTAAAGTAGGTCAAACTCAAAGGTCAAGGGGTCAAAGTTCTTGGTATCCATTAATTTAAAAGGGTCTTCTCACATGGATAACATATATGAAGTATAAAAGCCATATCTCTTACTGTTCAAAAGTCATGGCCAAGGTTAAAGTTTTTTCACAAGTAGAAAATCTACAAGGTCAAAGGCTCAAGGTTGTTGGTATCTAATGAAAGGTTTACCAACAAAGAATACACATGCAAAGTATAAATATTCTGATATATTCTGTTCAAAAGATATGACCAAAGTAAATGTTTAAAATTTTCATGTAAAATTGGGTCGAAATACAAGGTCAAAAGGTCTAATTTGGTGGTACCCAAAGAAAGGTCTTGTCACAAGGAATACACACGTGAAATATGAAAGTCATGGCTCCACTAAATCAGAAATTATGGGCAAGGTTACAGTTTTTGCGTACAAACAGACAGAGAGACAGACAGACACGACAAAAACTATATACCCCCGAAACTTCGTTGACGGGGCATAAAAATTAAACAAGCGTTTCAAATGTTACAGCCATTTTATCTATTGTAAAATAAAACTATTCATTTCTGTACTCTCTTTAACAGCACACTGTGCAAAGTGTAACATATGCTGTATATGAGGTACAGAAACATGTCTAAATCATTAAATTAATCAATCGTTAATTAAATAGTCAAAGAATCATGATTTAATGTCACATAGGAGAAAAAGGTCCTCACAAAGTGAGCCTTGGAGTACACAATTGAAATCTCGAGTAAGCTCTTAAGCTTACTCGAGATTTAAGCAAGACTTACTCCATTTGGAGTACGTTTTCTGTACTCAAAAGTTTTATAACCTATATTTCGAGTACGTGCTCCATCTCCAAATTTCGAGACAAACTTTCAAGCTAGATTTGGAGCCAGAGCTGGAGCCAAGTTTTATAACCCTGAAATATTTCGAGCCATACTCGAAACCTCTAAATTGGAGCCAGAGTTGGAGCTGGAGCCCGAGCCAAGGTTTATAACCTCCTAGCCAGGTGAGCTAAAAATTGTTCGGTCAATATTTGCACCCATAAAGTTCATATTACTTCAAATCTGTGTTAAAGCCCCAATATTCACCAAAAAAAAAAAAATCAAGTTTTGTGTTAAAAAATATATAATTAATAGCTTACATTGGTCTTTCAATGATCAAACCACAGGGGCATCTTATCCACTCTGTTCTCTATTTCACATATAAAAAAGAGTTTAAAGAGGGCTTACCTCCTTGTAATATATAGCCTTGACCAGCTAAGTATGATGCAAATCATAAAATATAAATGTTATGTATCCTATAAAAACACATGAAATGTCGAGCCACTTTTTAACCTGGGATATGAGCATGTTGAGATTCACACATAAAATATTACACTTACAAGATATGTTCCTCGCCATCTAATCTTAGGCAACGTCCTAGTCGTCTGCTGACGTTCTCGTGAGAACACGTGCTTGTGTTTACATCTCGTGAAAATCTCGTTTGTGGAAAAACTTCTAAATAATTTTATAAAAGTATTTTGAAGTGTATTTTGTCTTTTTCCTTCTCTGTTGACATGTTTATAACATTTTAAAAAGAGCATATTTTTGTGTTTCGTTTTTGCCCATCAGCTGAAGGGAGGTAACTCTGAATTTATTTTTGGCAAATGCCTTATTTGGAGAGTGGGTGACCCGGAAATATTCCTGTACATCGAAAGAAGAAGACTAGACGAAGAAAACACGGTATATTGTTAAGTTTAAGTATACTTTTTATCTTTTTGCTGTTTACCTCTGAATGAGAAGTATTTAATAATTAGTAGTTTATGTGTCTAGACATTTTTCTTTTTTTCTATTATTCAAGTGAATTTTTGCATAGTTATTTACTTCCTTTTTCACAACAACTGTACTTGTCAGGTTTGTAATATCGTTTTATCTATTTATAGAACAACTAAAAATAAATATGAACACTATGACAGATCGTCTTGATACAAGTATACTGGTATAGTGATATGTTACTTCATGGAACTCTTTCTGTCACCTCGGTCACTGCAGATCACATTTATAGACATTCAGTTCTTGATTGTTTCTCAGTGTAACAAAATGGTAGAGAAATGCTAAAGTTTCCTTGTAAGGCTTGTTCAAGTACTTAGGAATAAAAAGGAATTAAATAATTATATGATGTATTAGGACAATGGACTAAAGTTTAGTAACATTTTGGATAATATCGTCTATAAAAACTAAAAGATTGATTTTTTTGAAAAGTTTCATACGCGTACGTCAACGATGACCATTTTATGCATAATTTTTTTTTTGCTGACAATATATTTTCTGGTGCAAACTGATTATGACAATATTTCTGAGCATTTTCCATTAGTGGTCACATGCAAAAGTCTGAAATGTAGAAAATAAAGTATAAAGTATAAATAAATTATAGCATATTGCACATGTAATTAAGAGAAATATATGCATGAATAGATTTTAGGCGATGCATGAATTATAGATAAGAGTGGAAATCAATACGTATCGGTTTGAGGAGAAAGCATCAATTTCTGGTGATTAAGCACTGAGTGATCTGTAAACTGATGTGTGAATATTGTGATGCTTTCTTACATTTGTCATCATGGTAATTTTCTCACAGGTTATTAATTCTCCCCTCGTATAAAGCCCAGGTATTGCAGTGTTCTTCCTTTGTTTCTGTTTTATTATCATATAATAATGATAGTAAAAATTCTTTTGCACGCTTAATAATTTACATTAGAACTTAAACCATATAACCTTATATAAGGTAGAAGGCAATGATGACAATGCCTTGAGATCATTTTCAGATATCAGAAAGAATTTTGAAGCTTACATAAAATATCTGTGTAGTACATGTACTGGTAAATGCTCAAAGGTATTCTGGTATCTCTGAAGTATTGTGTAATTCTACTGTAGCACTAAATACTTGAATGTATGATAACTTCAGCAGATGGCTCTGCAGTCCCAGAACTCCCAGTAATGGTATTCAAGTTTTTAACAGAATGTTAATTATATGTAATGCATTTTTCTCATCCAGTGCCTCCACAATGGAATTTTAAAGGTTTTGTGATGTTTGACATGTTCTGAATCATGAGTATGTTGCAAGGGTTGAAGTTGGAGACTCTTTCTTTATATTTGTGTGACATTGTCCTTTTGTTAACATTGTCTTATGCCTCATGGTAAGCAGAGAGGATTTGTAGCCCTGGTCCACTAAAATGGAGTTTACAAAGTAAGAAATGATCACTACATAAAGTGATAAAGTGCTATATTGTGTTGTCTAGTGTAATGATGTTGTATGGACACTTGATGCTTGAAGTAGAATATACATAAGTCATACGCTCTTTAGTTTGTGTTTTTAAATTCATCCAATTAAATGCTACCTTTTACTGGATGTAAACTGTACAAAACTTCATTTAGTAGCAAGTTGAAAGTGTTACCATGAACTTTACACACTTTTCCCCTTCATTATATATTTATTTTTTGACACTACAAAGGTTAAAATCTGATACTAAACACATGTGGTGATTTGAACATTTATTCCAACTCATGCATCCATTATCACTCAATAATGAGATAAAAAAAATCTAACAGCTTGTGAGATAGCATCTCTTGTTCTTAATTGAGAAAACAAAATAACAATATGGAGAATGAAGTTTTATGATTCAGTTAAGATAAGCTCAGATCCAGAAAGAGATGAAGTAGATTAATATAATGATCTGAGAAATGTCTACATGCCTTTGTTAATATGCTAGTAAATAATGTGAATACCAGTTGTTTTTTTTTTTTGTATTCGACAAAAGCCTTGAAGTCGTAAAAACCTTTGGGAAATATTTAAGAAAAAACAATACTAGCATATTTTTAGGTAAAATAAGTGTTTTGTGCCTGGAAAACAGATGGGAGGCTTTCACTTTGACATGATATTTAATGGATAACCATGTGCATGTATTGTCACACGCACAGCTGTGTCGAAGATGCACCTACATAAAGTATCCCACAAATGTAGCATACAGTTCTGTGGAATGAATGGGAATGCAGTCAGATAGATTACAGATAGTCTGGGGTAATATCTGTCATCCTGTTGTTATGTCAGAGATCAATTAGAAGTAATTCTCAATCAATTCCCAAAACTGTCACAGTACATTAATAATATTAAGTTAAAAGTTTTGTATCAGTATCAACAGTTTACTGATGTTTCCATTGATCAGTGTAGATAATACATGTATATCTATATATGATACATGACTTTTGTCAATCACTAGGATAAACCTAGCTGACAAAGGAAACATATTTATGTACAACTAAAGTGCTTCAGAAAAGTCATTGATCCTTTTTTAAGAGCTTGACAAGGTTACAATTAAACCACATAGTCTAAAGTTATCAGTTATGATTGTTTCTGATGAGAGCAGAGCACACTGGGCTTGTCACCCATTTTGTTACCAAAGATCATATGTATTGAAGATTTGACTTTTGATTATAAAAAGGAACTTTTAAAGCCCTTTTTAGGAAGGATTAATATTTCTGAAGTACTTGTAAGTACTTTGTCCATTTATTAAAATAAGAAAGTATAAATTTCTTACATTACCCGGTTGTTCAAATATGTCGTATTTTTATAGTGTATGTGACAAACTTGCTTGAAAAGATAGTAGTTTGCCATGAGTTTTAATGTTGATGTAACTTTTGTATTACCCGGTACATGTATTTAAATGTTATCTTATTTTATATGCAAAACTAAATTCAGTTTTCGTTTTTTTTTTTATATATAATTACAAATATATTGTCAATACTGTATTTACTAGCTAATATATTTCAGTCTAAGAACATAACAGTTTACTGGATTTTGAACAACTGATCATCTTTCAATATTTAATTAATATACAGCTTTCTAACTGGAAAAACAGCTATCAAAAATGTTTGCATTTATACAGAGAAATGCAATTATACTTCTGGGTGCAAAAAAAGTAGATTTCATCAGAAATTTCACTACCTTATTTCTTTGCACTCTAATTAGAAAAAAACAACTTTGATTATTCTTTTCATTGTCCCTTTTAATCTTCAATAGTACAAAACAACCTGAGTTGTTTTTTTTTTTTTAAGTGACTAGAAAGACAAGGAAGTAACATTTCCCACTGATTTTTTTTTTATTTGGAAACAAAACACTGACAGGAAGTTAGTATTATTTAATAGCGGATAAGATTTTAATTTTACATACTTAATTTTGCCATTTAAATGGTTTTGTTAATTTTTCTTTTCAGATCAGTTCCTAGAATAATAAAAATATTGGCTGGAGAATCTGAGACGCCAGCGTAGAAGTTATTTAACAAGGTATGCGTGCTGTTAGTTAATGGTTTCAATTAGGGAGAATTTTTCGGTAAACACTTCATTTGATAAAATGGGGTTTATTCTTAGTAATTTACAATTCTTTGAGGAAGTGAAGTCAAAAGATTAGGATGAAACCTTCCTGGTCATTTGATGGGAAATTAGGGGTGTATTATTATCAGTGTTTACAATTGAGATGTTGAAATTTTGCCCAGCTTCAGTTAAAAAGGAAATGACTGATCTCATTAACATCTAAAAGAGCTGTGGATTTCGGTAACTATAAATCTGAATTTTTCCTGATCTTTTGATAATCACTAGAAACTTAGATATCTTGATAATTTGAAAAAAAAGAAAAATAATAATGATAAAAAACAATGCCAGATACATGTAATTTTTTCTCCGAAATAAGAATTAAGTGAGACTGACATATGTCCAAGTATTGATTAACCATTTTCTGTACATTGTATACATGTATAACTTGTATGTGTTAAACCCTTGCATACATAGCAATGATTTGATAATGGGCTATCATGGCTAATTATTGATATTTGTTCATCGTCATATTAATCTGTAAATGGAAAAGTGCATTTAGAGTGTTATTCTTACCGATTATTGAGCTCGGCTGTCAGCTGTATGTAAGTATAATTATTATGATGTTGTGGCATATACTACTAGTACCCATGGGATTCAAGGTCATTTTGAAAAGAAATTGGGAGTGGGTTACTTGTGTACTTTTTCTTTCTTTTTATTCAGTTTAGCCACAAGAAACCCTTGCATATGCACATGTAATATAAATGGGTGTATGTTTATAATATTGTATGATGTATTTTTTTCAAAGGTTATATTGCATTTTCAATGATATAGTTATTACATAGATATAACCAATTAAACATTTATCAAAATGTGTACCAACCACTATTGAAATGTAACTAAAGTGATATTTTATATAATTACCTCATAGATACATAATAAACACAAAGTGTTTGAGGTAAATCTAAAACAAAGCAGGAATTCATATTCTCCCCCTAGTTCTGTTTTATACGAACAGGAAAATCTGATAGGACTACTTCCAGGCAGCTTTTTAACTAGCACTCCAAATCAGGAAATGAGGCTGTGAATTTTAATTATTCAGCCTGTATATATTGTTTTAAGGGATAAGAGACAAACAATTGATTATCGCATTAATTTGTACTTGAGGAACAATTTCAAATATTGGTGCATATTTGTTTTAGCTATTTATCAATATTGAAATGTATTTTGATGCATAGGTGTTTAAAATAAGGTTTTATTTGACAGAGGTCAAGGTTTAATTTCAGGCCAAGGTAATGATTAGTTGCCAAAAATCAAAGTATTAAATGTGTTTTGTTTATGATCAATTTTATATATCATAATGTTTCATCAGAAGCACAATTTTTGAAGGAGGGATCTATACTGCGTGTTTTGTTAACAACATACAAGATAGACAAAGATTGTTTGATTCAGTGCTCAGGTTAACAAAAATAAAAAACCTAGGTGTCAGCAATAACACTGTGGAACTTCTTTATCTCAAACACGGATATCTCAGATGCTATTTTTTCACAGAGTCAATCACTCTATGTACTGTAAATCACTTTTTATTCGCGAGAACTTTATTTTCACGTAATTACGCAAGACAGTGTGCTTGCGAAAATTAAATTCTCGCATATAATAATATTCCTACGGATAATATAGAGCAAGAACCACAATTCGTGAAAATTTTGTCTCACTTATCAAGAGTCGATGACTATGTCGCGAAAATAAGGTGTCGCGAAAATTAAGTGATCTACAGTATATTACTTCCATTATCTCCAATTTTTTTATATCTCAAAGTTTAATCTTTCTCTCGTAAAGTTTGAGATAATGAGGTTTGACAGTAGATTTCTATTGTTATGCATGCATTAAATGCTACCATATATGTCATGTTTTGATTTTACAGAATTGCCGTATTACTATGGAAAATGTTTTGATTTTACAGAATTGCCATATTACTATGGGAAATTTGTTAAAGATTCTGTGGCGAGATGAAAACACATCATCAAACAAATATGACATTTTTGTAGATTTTGAAAGTAAGTGTATGCAGTTATGACTGATGTAACCTAAATTTCCTCTGGTCATGATTTTTACAGCTGTGTCCTGCCATCTGTAATGGGAAATTTGTTAAAAGTATTATGTCAGGCCGACTCCTCTGCTTCCAGAGACTATGACATTTTTGTTGACTTTGAGAGTAAGTTTCCTACCAAAACACTGAGGTGCCTGAATCCCACTGAATGTTGTCAATTTTTTTTCTCCAACTACTTTGCCTGACTGCTTTTTAGATTGAATGGGCAACCTTATTAACATCCACATTACAACAATACATATCAGTGAATATGGATTAGAGGAAAAAGATTTCAATTTTTAAGATAAACCTCATAAAAATAATTTTTAAAATAAGCTGGAAGAAATGCCCATTTCATTCATAAACATTTTCAAAACTAATTGCTCAACATGCTTAAACCAAAAATCTTTTGGCAATCATAATTAACTTTGGCATTTGAGAATAATATGTCTTACTAAGAAGAATAAGCCTAGGTGGGCATATAGAACCAGTACACCTTCTGCCATATACATTGTACAGTCCTTCTAGAAAGGATTTTTAGTACAAATGTAAACTTTAATGTAAGAATAAAAAAAATTGAAGTATCTCAGTAGAGCTACAGTCTTTTCAGAGACTTCTTGCTTACCGTATCAGTCAAAGTAAAAAAAAGATTTCCAAGGGCAACATCAATCAGATCTGTGTAAAAATATTTGATGAAATTAAAATGTTCAAACAACCACACCAACCCCCTCTCATTTTATAGTAAGTTTCTTTTGGCACAATTTCTAACAGTTTACTGAAGGCATTTTTCTCAGCTTATCACTCCCTTTGATTATTTTCTCAGTGTTTGGTTTTTGAGGGCATGTTATTCACTTGAAAAAATATATTTCTATGGTTTATATGCATGAAGCCTGAAGTATAAAAACCATGCTAGTCATAATACTGTACCTTGGTAGATCTAAGAATTTTATTTTGTAACATAAAGTCAACTACAATATCTTTTATTAGCATGCTACAGTTCATTGCAATAGTCATACAGTTGGTGATGTTTCATAAAACAGATTTCACTGAGCTCATTTTAGAAGAAAAAAGTTGGGTTCCATTTTTTTAAAGACAAGTACATTTTTTCTTTTTACTGAGTGGGGAGTTTATGGAAGATGCTGCTGTATGACTTAATGACATGTAAAATGCATGATATATCAAATTCTTTATATCAGACTTTTTCATTTCTCTGATATGACAATATTCTCCTTTGAATTCATGTGCATAATAACCATGGACTTTTACAATCATGTATCTCTCTTGACATTTTAAAGCACTTCGTATTCTTCACTTATTTAAAAAAGATACAGCACTTAAAACAATTGTATAATTTTCAAACATATGTGGCTGTATATACTTTCATAGAAAATCAAAATTATGCATGAATCTAAACACATTTTAATTTGTTCCTTGGGTTCATTTAAATGATACCTATACTCTACCATATAGGTGTTCAGCCAACAGATGAAGAGAAAGCAGTGTGGGAAAAAGTACAGGCTGTTCTAAATGAGAGTCAGTCAATCCTACATGATATACAACAGTATACAGGAGCCACAGAGGACATCAAACAGGTAGGCAATCCTAGAGGATATATACAACAAGATACAGGTAGGCAATCCTACAGGATACACAACAGTATACAGGTAGGCAATCCTAGAGGATATATACAACAGTATACAGGTAGGCAATCCTACAGGATACACAACAGTATACAGGTAGGCAATCCTACAGGATATACAACAGTATACAGGAGCCACAGAGGACATCAAACAGGTAGGCAATCCTAGAGGATATACAACAGTATACAGGTAGGCAATCCTACAGGAAATACAACAGTATACAGGTAGGCAATCCTACAGGATACACAACAGTATACAGGTAGGCAATCCTACAGGATATACAACAGTATACAGGTAGGCAATCCTACAGGATACACACCAGTATACAGGTAGGCAACCCTACAGGATACACAACAGTATACAGGTAGGCAATCCTACAGGATACACAACAGTATACAGGTAGGCAATCTTACATGATATACAACAGTATACAGGTAGGCAATCCTACAGGATATACAACAATATACAGGTAGGCAATCCTACAGGATATATACAACAGTATGCAGGTAGGCAATCCTACAGGAAATACAACAGTATACAGGTAGGCAATCCTACAGGAAATAGAACAGTATACAGGTAGGCAATCCTACAGGATACACAACAGTATACAGGTAGGCAATCCTACAGGATATACAACAGTATACAGATAGGTAATCCTACAGGATATACAACTGTATACAGATAGGCAATCCTACAGGAAATACAACAGTATACAGATAGGCAATCCTACAGGAAATACAACAGTATACAGGTAGGCAATCCTACAGGATATACAACAGTATACAGGTAGGCAATCCTACAGGATTTACAACAGTATACAGGTAGGCAATCCTACAGGATATACAACTTTATACAGATAGGCAATCCTACAGGAAATACGACAGTATACAGATAGGCAATCCTACAGGAAATACAACAGTATACAGGTAGGCAATCCTACAGAATGTACAACAGTATACAGGTAGGCAATCCTACAGAATATACAACAGTATACAGGTAGGCAATCCTACAGGATACACAACAGTATACAGGTAGGCAATCCTACAGGATATACAACAGTATACAGGTAGGCAATCCTACAGAATATACAACAGTATACAGGGACCACAGAGGACACCAAACAGGTAGGCAGTTAGCCTGAGTTTGGGGGATATTTAACTTCAATAGTGTGTAATAGACTACAGAATATAGGGACTCTGGAGGACAACAATCGAGTAGGTAGTTATAGAAATGAATACAAACAACTCTAGGGGTAATCTCTGGAAAATGTTGCATACAAGAAACTCTTCACAAAATAAAGGTTGTAGAAACTTCAGCAGTATTTTGTTTTAGTTCATATTACTACATGTACCGGTATTTTCTTTGTTTCAGGCCATTAGTAATCCAACAAATGATGCCCTACAAGAAAAGGCATGGGTGGCTGTATGTCCTCTAGTGGGGAGACTGAAAAACTACTTTGAGTTTGCTAATAAATTAGGTATTTATAAAAAAGAATTCAAGGATAATTAATTAAAACATAAATTTTGTTTTCTATACATTCTATTGAATACTGTGCTTATCTGTTGGAAAGTTGTACAAAAATTGTTTATAAAAATAGATTCATAATATTTAATAGAAAAACATCAACTCACCTGACCCAAAGGATCTGGTGAGTTTTCTGATCAGAATTGTTCTTTGTCTCTCATCCTTTGTCAGTTTAAACTTTTCACAATTTCATGCTCTATTCGGAATCAAATGGCCAATTTTAAATGAACTTGGCATAAAAGTGTGTGTGTGTGTGTGTGAGGGTGAGTGTGTGTGTGAAGGTATTTCAAGTTTGTTTAAATAAAGGAAAGGGTCTTAGGAAAAGAAAAGGCAAAAATGTGGAATCTTTAGAACCACTTGGCTAATTTCAAGGGTGTAGTCACAGTGGGGTACCAGCATTTTACATGGGAGTATATGGGTAAAAGTCATACAAAGTCCTTATTATTAACAGTAGGACTACTATTAATGGCAACTTTGTCAGATCATATAGATTCAAGTTTAAGGTCCATGGGGTTAGGGTGGGAAAATCAAAGAAAAAAAACTTCTTTTTAAAAGTTTTCATGTAAACATGGTCATAATTAGTCAAATAAATATACAAGAAACCTCAAGTTGTGCTCTTTACTAAATCATGGCTTTTGGGGCTATAGTGAGGCCTTTGTCCTGGAAAGAAACAGGTTCATGGTGACTCACAGACTCAGGTGAGCATTGTGGCCTGTGGACCTCTTGTTTTCTTTATGAAATATGTGTACATGTATAGAATTCTATATATCAATATGCTTAATTTGTCTTTTTTCCAGAACACACTGTCCATGATTTGCTGGCAGTGCTATGTTCAATAGACAAAACTCCTAGGGAGCACTTGGAAACACAGCAGGCTTTGTTTAAACAGTTTGCACAGATTTTAGACTTTGTACTTAAGTTTGATGATACAAAGGTAGGCAAAATAATATTTTAAATAAATTCAATACAAAGTTCTTCAATCTTCAAATTATGTTAGAGATGTTGTGAAAATGAATTAAACAATGAAGCCAACATTTTTAAAAATCAAATGTTGATTGTTTTAGTTACATGTATATCCATATCTTGAATAAAGTTTCAAAGATATTAACAAACAATTTAATTAAGAAGAAAATTGTATACTGGGGACCAATGCTTAGCAACATGTAGGAAATTTTTTTTTACTTGATAATGAACAATCAACAATTAAATAGGTTTTTGATTCAATAATCAATATGGTTGCTGTGAAATGTTCAGGAACATGTACATGCCAAGGAAAAATCGAGAAAGTGTATGCAATAAATAAATCCATTATTGTTTGTATTTCAGATGATAAACCCTTCAATACAGAATGACTTTAGTTATTATCGAAGAACACTAAGTCGAATGAAAATGGCAAATGAAGTAAGAATAAGCATTTATTTTGTAACAGCTATGTAGTTCATGTACATTAATGATAATAAGTTCCTGTGATTGTTTGCATTAAATATAAGTGGCAAGAGTGGTGAGCAGTTTTCAGTATTTATTTTACAGGATGACAACAAAGGCAATGAGAATGTTGTTTCTAATGAAATGGCCAACAGAATGTCACTATTCTATGCCCCCGCTACACCAATGTTAAAGGTACTGAGCGAGGCGACCACTAAATTTGTGTCCACCCACAAAGAACTGCCAGTGGAAAACACCACCGATTGTCTGAGTACAATGGCCAATATCTGTAGGGTTATGATTGAAACTCCGTAAGTAGCCAGGTTTCAGTGCACCAACTGCAAAGGAAATATCAGTTATCCTTAGTTTATGTCTATATTATATGGTCTCCTAATTAATGTACTGTAATGGACAAATGAAATAAGTCAGAGGAGAATCTTTTCAATTGCTCAGTTTTATTTTGGTTTTAAAAAAAATTCTGTTGGTTCACAATGATGTAGAGATAAAACTATGATAGATAACATCTTTATATTATTTTATGCTTTACATTTGCATCAATTTTATTTCTGTAACCTTAATTAACAGGGAGTATGTAGCTAGATTCCAAAACAGTGAAACCAAATTATTTTGTCTACGAGTAATGGTGGGAGTAATTATTCTCTATGACCATGTACATCCTGTGGGAGCATTTGCCAAATCATCAAATATAGATGTAAGTTATATCTTTATTATCGAAAAAATTGCTTTCATTCACAACAAATGTCATAATATGCAGGGCAGATGAATGACCAGTACTTTTCTATGCCCACATACATGTATGAAATACAGTTATAGAAAATTTCATTGGGGATTAAATTTTGAGAATTATCAATGAAATTAAATATCAAACAAAATTTTTGTATATTTAGTGTATTCAATATATAGTGCGAACAAATGATTGGAATTATTTGATGCAATCAGGAAAGCTTTGTGAAGCGGTTCCCTCGACTGCTGTTTTGTTTTTAAATCAAGGAAGATCTAAATCTCATAAGATTACCGTTTGTGGGCATTAAATTGTTTATGTTAGTGACATTTGAATGATCAGTATGCTAAAAAAAACAATGTATTGTCCAGGATCTGTTGAATTTAAGTAGAGGAGTTGGTTTTTGAGAAAAGTAATGACAGAACAATTATGTACATTAAAATGTCAAACAAATTTTGAGAAATAATCCGCATTGGAAAAGCACAAGGTATATGGGAAATCTATGAGCTTTTTATGGGAGAGCATTTATGAAAGTGAATGAATAGTACTTTTATTGTAAAATCATTGAAGAAATTGAAGAAACCTTTTAAAACCCATTTAATTCAAAATCTATATCAAAGGTTTATCATTCAGATAGACAGATACATTAAACTAATTGTCTTTTAAGCTAGATGGTGAATTGATTTTAAATTATTTACTTATTTATTTACTTCTTCCTAAATAGTATATCAAGATTATATGTTTAGGGGTGTGCAAATGCTAAAAGCAAACCCTTTATTCATTTTGATTATTTCAGATCAAAAGTTGTATCAAAGTACTGAAAGAACAAGAACCAGGAAGAGTGGAGGGCTTGTTAAATGCCTTAAGGTAAGGTCATTCTGAAGAGGACATTTTGGGATGTGGAACAATTTTTAAGAATTGTTTTAGATGCAAAATACTGCTACATAGTTGAAACAATTTCTGAAAAGGATGAACAAACCCAACTTCTGTAAAAATATTGATTAGGTTCAAACTGTCGTGTGTTTTTTTTTTCTCCAAAAACAACATTTGAAGGTCGCATGTCCAAGACTGGACACAATATCCTGTTGACTTTGGCAAGATTTCTTGGTTGAGTTGATGATAAAGTTCATATTTTAAAATGTGTAGTCTCTTGACATTGCCTAGGTAAACACATGTACCAGTAAGAAATCCAATTAAAGCATAACAATTTAAACTGAATTCAATGTTATAACATTGATCTGTCTGTAAAATTGTAAATAATTCCTTTCACCATTGTTCCAGATAAACATATCTTCTGATTCATTGATGCTAGCTAGTTTGATATTCAATCCATATATGTGTATATTATAAAGAAGCAAATTAATATAAATGTGTAGCTGTTAATTCTTGTTTCTCCACCGTCTTATTGCTAAAAGTGATCTTTTTAAACACCAAAACATATTACTCATTTGCCTGTTATCTTATTCACAGTATCATTTCCTTGATCATAAAGATCATTTACACATTTCTGATTTAAACTATAAAAAAGAATTCATTGAAATTAAAACAATATTTTTTCTAAATTATTTGATAGAATTTAAATTATAGAAATGTTCATGAAAGAGCTAGGTTCACTGTGCAAAAAATTATTGACTTACACCCAATGTCTCTTTACAATTATCAATATAAAGTAGAAAACAAGACAGAGTAAACTTTTTACCATTTTTGAAGAATTTTTCAGGATGTGGAAAAATGATGCAATTCATAACAAAATAAGGCATTGAACAGCAAGAAAATTACCTAATATTCAATAGCTATTTAGAACAAGGGATCTAAATGACATATTTGAGACATTTTCAGATAGAATTGAGCAGTTATGATTTTGCAGAAATACTAGTAATCAGGGCAAAAAAAGGTCCTAAGTGAACCTTGCTTTTTAAGTCTGTTATCTATTTCATATTTTTGGTTCAATCATTGCAATTTTACATTCATTATCTTTACAGATATACAACAAAAACATTAAATGACGAAACAACGCCAAAAACAATTAAAGCCATGCTTGCAGGCTGAGCAAGTGTTTTATATGTAGACAAATCAATGCTTTACATTAATTCACTGCATATTTTTCTTGTTTCTGTGTGTGATTGTGCTACCAAGTGTTGAGACTAAGAATGCCGTGTTTTGTGGATGAGTGGCTGGAGTTGTCTTTGCTTACATGAGAAAATGGCAGCTGATGTTTTAATGTCCGGGAGTTATGACAACATGTTACCATGGAGAATTGTGATGTCATTGTAAGACAAAGAAGAGTGGATCTACAGAATACTTTCCTCATTTAGTCGTAGGCTGCAATTTGATGAATTATGTTTCCTAAATTTTGTGGCAGGATCTAAAGAATCAAAATAATAGGGATTTGTTTTGTTTTTTTTACATAAAAAATTCTTAGTGTCTGTTAAAATCTTATGCTTTTTCATAAATTTTTAGCACCTGCATGCTTTCCCCTTATTCTTAAAATTAGTGAATGTTGATTTGATACCGGTTTATCAATTCATGTATGAACTTGCATCCACTGTTCAAATAGGAGCAGTTCTAAATAAAAGTGCTATTTTTTCAATGTTGAATACACTGTAGTATTTTTTTCCTTTTAACAAAGTTTAGGTAGATAAACATAAAAACAGGGTTATATTAGTTGTAGATCAAAGCGATAGTCCTAGATTACTAATCAACATTTCATTGAATAGGTGATTTTTGAAATACATTTCTCTTGAAGAGAAAAAAGATATGTTTATATTTCTTGAATGAGAAGTTTAAATTATTTATGAATTTAGTTTTCCACAAAACCTAGGTAGAGTTACCAAATGTGGTGAATATAATTACATGTTTCATAATGTATCTTTTTGTGCTATATTTTATTTCTTTATATGTCAAATAATTAGAAACAAATAAATTTGTCCATGTATGTTGTTAAATGCATGTGATGTATTTGCGGAAATATCACGTTATGGTGTAACAGATCATTTTAGTGACTTGCAAATTCTGCAATTTTATAAGTAGGAATTTCATATTATATGGCATAAGATATTTTGAATGACTTTTTGGATTCCTCATTTGACTTACATGGACAATACATGTGTATTTATCTTTTAATTTTATTAAACTTTCATGTAAAGTACCCTTAATAATGTTTAATGTAATCCTCAGCATTATCAAGTTGTAAACAGGTAACACAACAATAATGTCACTTGGATGTACATCATTCATGTATGGTTTGTTACAGATTTCTCCAAACTGTTTGAATAATTTAATTTACATATTTTTTTAATGTTGCCAGGAACTTACTTTTCGCACATTAAATAGATGGTCACTAAAAGTTCTGTTGTATGGTAATTAATGATTATTTCCAAAACATACAAGATATTTATAGGATCAATAAGAAAATATTTACTGCGGTATATTGTATATCTTTCTAGTACTATGAATTGTTTATTTTTGTCCAGTATTAACGCAGTAATTGCAGGGTTATAGACACTCTTGCGTAAACAATGAAGATTAGTTTAAGTATCAAGTGTTTGAATACCTGTCCATGACAAATTAATTAGGGTATTTCTTGATATCAGAAATTATGGAATCTATAAATATCCCCTGTCCTTTATACTGATCAAAGGGATCTAGTAGTTATTGAACCTAACAATGTATCAGACCATGTGTTCTCCATCTATACACTAAACAAAATTTTCAACCTCTTTAAACTTAAACTTTTTCATTAAAACTACCATCAAACTTTTAAAAAAAAAAACAAGAAAGACCTCTCCATGTTTAATTGATTTGGGCAATATTCATTGGACATAAAGAGTGCTGTAGTTGTTAAGATTATGCAAACTAATGCATTGTAGTAATTTGCTTTGAAAAACTTCCGAAGCTAAAGTGTAATGCATTTGTTTAAATATATATAACATATATTGTTTAACACATTCCAAGTTCAGCATATCGGCCTGTATATGTAAATATGTAATCATCTGAGAATAAGGGCGGTTGTGTTTGTTTATACTTGTATTAGAATTAACTGTTTTCAAAAGTAAATTCAAACTCGTAAAAGAGAGCTTAATTTTGAATATATCATGAACATTATTTATAGCTTTACATCAGTAACCAAAATGCTTTATTTAAGATACTATAAAGATGTATTTCTTTAGAATGTCATCTTTTTCTAACTTTTCTACCAACTTTGTAAAAACACTTTTTTTTTTATTATTCCATTGATTTTTTTATTTTCTATGCAAAGATAATTAAACCTTGTTTTTCAGTGCACACCATTAAACTTTTTTTTGACCTACTACCTTGTCTTTCTGATTGCTTAACCAACTCCTTTGTAAGCAAACACTTTATTAGAGAAATATCATATCACCATATAGGTAAGCTTTGTGTACTTTTGTGATAGATACCATTTTTTTTCTCCCTTGAAGTTCTGTATTGTCTTCAATCAGTTACTAGAATACATGGCATTCACTAAGAATACTGTAATAATTGTTTTGTTAGAGATGTGTGTTGCAGAATTACATTGGCCATTTTAAAGACTATAGAAATATCAATTTTATATAGATCAAAGAAAATAAATGTTGAAAACCTGTATATGATTTTTTTTTCTTTATGAACTGTTTTCCATACTTTCAAGGATAAGTAGCATGGAGATTAAAAAGGCTCTGGATTTGAAATAGCTTTCTGAGGAGATGAAATTTTTTCTATTTTTATGTCCTATGATCTGAATGACTACCTCTTATTGACAACATTCGAAGGTTTAGTCATGTACAAGTGGTGATCAAGAAGTTTACTAGCTATTCCTGTATCTACCGATACAAAACCATGCGGATTAAGATTTGAATGAACTTTGACAAACATATATAAACCCATTAACATTATTTATAAATGGCATGTGTTGTGTAATATTTTGCTTTACTTTGATTATGTTGCCATAATGTGAAAATGACGTCAATATGTATATAACTTGAGTCACAAAAATGGCTGACCCAAGCAAGGAAAGCTTGTAAACTTTATAACATATTACTGCAAAAGATTTTCCAAGATTTATGATAAAAGTATCTTGAAAAATCATTTGCCATAATATCAGTTCCAATTGTGCAGGTTTTATGAAGACAAGGACTTGCCAAATATTAAGTAATAATATTTTAAGCTCACCTTGACAAAGTGTCAAGATGAGCTTATGCTATACCCCCAGCATTGGTGTTAGTGTAGGCGGGTCAAGGTTAATGTTTTTTAAAAGTAGGTCAAACTGTTAGGTCAAGGTCAAAGTTGTTGGTATTCAATGAAAGGTCTTGTCACAAGGATTTCATATGTGAAGTATGAAAGCCCTAGCCCCAACAGATTAAAAGATATGGTGGTTAAAATTTTGCAAAACTGGGTCAGATTTCAGTGTCAAATTTGATGGTACCAAAAATAGGGCCTTGTGTTATAAGGGATACCTGTGTGAAATGTGAAAGCCATAAAGCCATAGTCTCTACCAATCAAAAGTTATGGGCAAGGTTTAAGTTTTTGTGGATTAACAGACAGACAGACGGGCAGACAGGGCAAAAATTATTTACCCTTGAATCTTCAATTATGGGGGCATAATAGCTATAAGTCAGGATCAAACCTGCAACATCGATGCAAGTTTGGTCCAAGTAGATCGGCCTATAGTCACTTGGGAATGGACTTGCCCCAAAAACTTTGATATATTTAGTCCCTCATCTAGAAAATATAGATCAGATCCAGCAACATTATTTTTTGGAGTAGGTCAATTCCCAAGGAACTTCCAGACTTCCTTCAGTTGCTGGATCTGACCTACATTTTCTAGATGAGGGACTTAATTATAAATAATATAAGAATCCAACTTCATTCTTAAATCAACACATATTTTATTAATGTGCTAGCTATTATAATTAAGATACATGGCATCCAACTAGCGGCTTAAATTACCCTTGTAACTAAATCAATAGAGTACTAAAAATACTAGCGGTGATATATGTCAGAAGTCCTCAAGGGTTCAATTAATTGAAACGATTGATGTCCCTGTACATTTCAAGTATAATTATAAGCCTATTTTATTTTCTATGGGACAATGGATAATATGTAACCAGTTATTAAGTTTAAAACTGAAAAATCATGAGATGCTTTGTATTGTAGGCATATATTCCAACAAATGTCCTTTAACTTGGACAATAATTGACTCTCACAAGGACGATTTGTAGGAAGTTTGATTAAACTCGAGTCAAGTGGTATTCTACTTATTAGCATGCCTTTAACATTGAAAAGAGTATTTTATGAGTTGACATGAAGCATTTACTTCAATATTTATAATAATATAATGATAAATAAATTCACTAATCAAATTTCCCGCGTTTTCAAATATTTATTTTTTCCCAGAAGTCAGTGCGTTTTAAGGACATGCGTGTAAACTGTATTGCAAATGGCGGCACTTGTTATTGTTCCATGGCGTTGAAGATACGAGCAAACTTTGAGTGATTCTAGTCACCCACAAAGGTTAGACGGATTATCAAAAGCAAATGCATCTAAACACTTGTTTCCGCATACATTAAAAGAAAGGTCGCTGCTTGATATTTTGTATTGCATTTAATATTCTGTAGGGAAAGTCAAGAGGTGTCATATTTGATCAAAATGGGGTTGCCTCTGCGGATTAATGTCGACTCAAAATTGCCAGTTTATTGATGGCATAGTAAATGCATGTGTTTCTGTGATGCATTTTTTACTCAGTTGAATTACACAAATGCAATTTTGTAAGATTTCGTGTACTTGCATTTTTGCGTCATCAGTCTTGTTTTTTTTCGGCGATTTCTTAAGGAAAATGGTAGACCGAGAACAAAATGCACATTTTAAGGATATTGAAATCGAAACTTCAATTTTACTATGAATTTGGCAAAACAATAATTTTGTCACGTCTTTATTGCATAAAAAAATTACAAGACTAGAAATACAAAGACCGTAATTTTGTTTATTTTGACATTGATGAAAAAAGTATGCATGTCATCATATTCATAGACCTATCCCACCGTTGATTTCTAATTAAGCAGTTTTATGAAATATTATAATGTGGAGATTGGGTTTTATTTAAAATGGCTTATTGTTAGATCGTATTCATTTTATGAAAAAAATTTTCGCGGCGGAGCAGAGATATTAACAGGTTCGTTTTGAGAAGACTTTTTTACCGTAATTTTAAAAGAATGGAAAAGAATAAAAGGATTACATCTGTTCAAATTGATTGCTATTTTGATTAACATGGACACCCATTAATGTGCATTCAAGAGGAGATAACTGTGCATCTTCTTATAAGTAATGGACCTAGTACTTTGTACAAACATAATTCGTACTGTCTATTTTTCTTGCTTTAATATAACAAGCATTTACTTTTTCATTGTTTTAAGATTAGTTGACATTTCCATTTTTAAGCATAGGTAGTCTTCTTATCTTGATTTTTTTAAGATTCACAATGTACGTCATTAACATCATTAATTCTTATTACATTTGAAAACCAGTTACAAATAGTTATGACATGATACATACATATGACAGCATGCAAACATATTAGTATGATGAAATATATTGAATATGTTAAAAATGTGTCTTATTGATTTTTGCATTTATTTATTTTTTGAGAACACAATGTACATTAGTTTCCTTATGTTTATATAAATTTATGGAAAGAATTCATATTCAATCAGAACTTTTGAAAGGAAATCATTTAGTACAAAATAATTTTTCTTTCACCTAGAGGGTTTCACAATTTTAACCTAGGTTTGTGAATAGTGAACTTTTTAGGGAAAATGTTGAGGCTCTGAAATTGTACTGGAAAATTATCAAATATTAGAAACTATACTTAGGTATTGATATTTTAAGTAACAGCAATGAAGATATTCAAGGAACCAGTGTAAAAAATGTTATTGTATAAAAAAAAAAAATCATTTGCATATATTCAAAAAAAAAATCATTGCTTATACCTGTACTCTGTCAGTCTGAAAGAAAGATTTATGGCCCAATAATCATGCAAGAATGAAACTGTCGTTAACTAATTAAATATATAAAACAATGTGTACAGGAAAAGGCATGTCATACAGACTGTAACAGAGTGATAGAACAGTAGATTAAGGGAGCGTGCGGGGGGGGGGGGGGGGATAGAACATGTATCTAAAGTGTCCATTCTTACCAATTTTGATGTTCCTGAAACATATTCAATGGGAAAAAATAGCATCAAAATTAAGAAAACAAGGCCATAATAAAAATATTCCTAGATTCTCATCTCCGCCCACCACGATTTTTGCGTGCAGGTGACTATTACCAAGAAACTATAAGGCTTATTTAAAGCAAACTTGCCCAAATGATGCATCAAGGGATGAAAACTCTCAAGCTTACTTCAGATGCTGGATTTTAATCACATTTTCATGATGAAGAAATAGTTTGAAGTTTTTATATAGGTCTATTCCAAAGTATCAGATCAAAATTGCATAAATTTTGCATTTTTGGATGTACACTTTTTGTTGGGTAATTGTGTGACTTTGCCGTACTTAAAGACAACATTCATTGAGGTGAGCTCTGTAATCTCTGATTACCTATGTTTTTAATTTCTGTTTTTCTTCGTCTTAATTCTGATGGGGATTGATATTCAACTACCATTCTACTTTCATTTTAAATCCCATGTATGGCGGCATGATTTTGACAGCTGAAAAGATGGTAATTGCTGTAATATATATTAAACAAGGTGTCATTTGTTGTGAAAGATTGGTGATGATGTGAAGTAAGAGATAAATGGACCTCTACTATGACTTTTATTCGAGTATTGTAGATTTATCTACACCAATTGACCAGATCAATAAAAAATCTGCCAAATTGAAAAAAGTAAAAAACATACAATAAAAGCGGCCCGCCCGCCTCGATTTAAAAAAAAATCAGATGAGAATCTAGGATTTTTTTTTTTTTATGGCCCAATCTAGATTTTTCTTTAACATTACCAATTTTTCGGTACCCTTCAACATAAGCAATGAACATTAATGGCTAGGAGTGGAAGTCATTCTGAAGAAAGTATAAATGTTTGCATAATGTTTGTAAAAGAAGAAGGCACTTCAAGAGGGTGGGATGTGTAGCAATATATGGTTTTGTAAGTTCTGTATATAAGATGCCTCAGGGTTGGCATGTACTCTGGCTGGAAAAGTAGTGTGGGCTAAGCAAAGATGTTTTGTCAAGTTCAAGATCAGCACATTATTCATTTTATTACCTATTTATGCTGTAGGTTTGAATTTGATAAGTTTTATTCTTAATATGTTCATCTTTGATAAATAATCTATTATAAGCAAATTGTAATAAAGCTGCAAATGACCCAGCAACTAGATACACTCTGTAATCTAAATTGCACATACAAAGATGCAATCTGAAAATGGAGGAAAAAAATTCATCAAAAAGATTTTTTGCCAGATTAAATGAGTCAGGTTGTTACAGGAAACAGATTTGATTTTTTTTTTTAAGGCTTAAGAAGAGATATTGATGAGTGTTTACTTCAAATTGAATAATACTCTGGAAAAAAAATATGATAATCAAATTACATAATGTGAGAGAAGATGCCGATATTTTTTCTGCACTGTTTGACTTTGTTGTAGGTGAGCATATGCCGTCGTTGTGACGATGGGTCCTCAAGAGGACTTCGTGGAGACAGTCTTCACCTGTGAAGGAGACATTAATGATCCCGATCTCAAAAACCGACTGGAAGATTTTAGAAGTACTCTCCGAGATCTTTTGTCTACAGGTAATAAGCAGGAAAATTGTGGCAAATGTATGATTTGCTGACCATGCTGACTTCAGATCACATAATGTTTAATTTTGCCAAGTTTTTATTTTGAAGTTGTAAAGCATACCCTAAGACCAAATTATTTTTTTGTTTTCTTTTTGCAGTATTAAAGATAAAATTCAAAATGAAACATACAATTAAACTTCATTGTTTTGAACTCCAATATACCGTTACTGGTATAAAGTACCTACACAGTGTTTTTAACCCACTTTCCCCACCTTGTGTACCCCAATGGATGAAGATCGGATGAAGATTGGGGTATATAGGCATCATGATGTTCTCTGTCTATGGAAAAGATTTTTTATGGACATTTTCTAAAAGACTAACCTGGGAAAATTTGTACACTATTTATGCTTAAATATATAAAGGTCTGCATCTGATATTTTCCCATTTTATTGGACAGGAGTTAAAGTAATTCTTGTCAGAACATAACTTTGAAACAAAGAAATATTAAATGCTTAAACTGGATGCAAAAGAGTTTTAACCTGAGGTGTCCTTTCATTCTAAATCATCATTATGACAAGGTCTCGGTTTCATGGGGTAAAAGCATTAACATATTATTTAAGACTCAAGTTTAAAATGAAGAATTATTAGAAGTTTGAACTTTAGACAAGGGGTATCTCCTGACCTATTAAAGGTTCATAAACCCTCTGCTCACTTATATTAAATTTTGCTTGAAAGTTAATAGTTTTCCAAAAGAAATGTATTTTATAAGTAAAATACAAACAATTATAGCATAGCTTGAGGGGCAAAATTGGACAAAAAAGACACTTCAACATGGCAAATCTATAAAGGAATAATAGAAATTTATGTCATTGAGAGTTATCTCTCTTATCAGAGCAGCAATGAACCTTAATTCAGAGTATTTTTGACAGTCAAGACCATGGGTATTAGAAATATGATGAATTTCGCATTTGTCATCACTTAAAAATAGCATTTGATTGTAGTGGGCACAAAGGTCATTGGCATTTGGAGGGTTTGTAACATTTCACACCATGGTCTTTTCAACAAAATCAAGGTCACTGGATGTGATGTGTAAAACTCATATCCATAACAATTTTTTATGACATTAATTAAAAAAAGGCACATTTGCCCTTATGGATGATTTTGCTCAAAGGATATGTTATCACCCTAGAGTAGGTCAAGGTCACAGATTTACTGCTCAGAAGCAATGAACTTTGAAGTCTCAGGATTGAATCAAGACATAATCTGTATGAAAGGAGAATCAGGTGGTCATATTTGAAACAAAGGTTGCTTGTGACAAAGTCTATAGTTTTAGGAGGTCAAGGTCACATGACCTCGAAGTTAAATGTTATATCAGCTAGGGATGGCAAAGTTTTTAAAAAATTTATTTCAAAGTGAACATTTTCTATAGCTCTCATGCAGAGGAATCAGTCTTGTTAATATGAAAAGTGCATTTGAATAAGCAATAAATAGAATCCATTTAACTTGATTGATAATGCTGATAAAATTTATATGCATGTTTACTGCAAAAGATGTTGTAACAGTTACATTATATATTATAAGTATTAATCTGTTATTATGTTCTGATATTTAATTCATGCAATACAAATATTTTACAGATAAAAGAAAGTTAATTCTAAAGAAAGTGGAGCCCTGGAATAGTGTGAGGGTCACCTTTAACATCCCTTTGGAAGCAGCGAGGAGGTTAAAGCACTTGGCACAGCAAGGAGATGCTACCCTCAAACAACTTGGTGTTTTAGCTGTTCAGCTTGAGGGGGATCAGCTTATATCCCTCACTATAGCTGGTAGAAATAATGAACGGACTAAGTTAATATTTAAAACTACTGGTGATTCTGTCAGTGGAGCGTCTGCTGTGATTAACAAGGGACCATCCTCAGGTCAAGCAGTCGATTTCAATGGACCTGGTACCAGTGAAGCTACCAGAAAAAATATTGCTGACTATCTCAAGCAAGGGTCCCAGTTACTGGGATTATTACCACCACAGCTTGACAATAAGAGGAATGCTGGTCAGGACATATTTGGTGCAGAAAATCCCACCAGTAAGACGCCTATACCTATTGGTCCAAATCCATCACCTAAAAATGGTCCTCAAATTGTCCCCGAACAAAAAAGACTTTTACCAACAAATATGGAACATCCAGAGTTTCCAATGTTCTTGGACAATTACATGAACTTACCCCCACCTCCACCTTACCCTGGGATACCAGCTACTAGCCCATTGCTTGTGAATCTATTACAAACTGATGCAATGGCAAACTTTATGAATAGTAAAATGTTGCCCCCTTCAGACACTAGTCCTCCTCCTAAAAAGAAAAGAAAACCCAGGAAACCAAAAGAGAAGAACAAGACTGCAACAGTCACTCAATCTGAAATGGATCTAGCCAGCCAGAGTATTCCAAATCCAGCCTTGGGACATTGTGGTTTACCAACATCAGGAAACAGTTCTAATATGCCTTCCATGCTGATTACACAAGCTCTCCCTCCTAGTTCTATGCCGGTAGTGACATGCAGTGCATTACCAGAGAGGGCCATGCCTTCTGTTCCTGCAAAATCGGACTTTCATCCAAACATGAGAGCTGGTGTAAATCCTCAGATGAAAGAATTCATGCTGGCTAAAAGGATGCATCACAAACAGGGCCATCCTGAAAATTCATCAGGGAAGATCATTAACCCCTACACTGGAATTCTAGAACCTGTTGAGAGTTCAGACTCCAGTCCTTGTAAAAGTGATAGTTCTATGGATAGCTTTTCTCCTATGAAAAAAGTTTCTCCAAAGGACAAAAAGACAGTTGGCCTTGCAATGTGTACTTCTTCCATTGTTAACAGTGTGCCAAGTGCTATTCCCTCTGCAGACAGAGTTAGAATTGTTCAGGGATCAGGACTGAATAGCGTGGGATTTTCCTCTAGTCTTCATATTCAAAGTGACAGTGCTGGGTATCCTTTCTTAACATCGGCCAATCCAGCTGCTTTAGTTCATCCTGGTATAACTACAACAGCTGCTCTCAGTGCAAGTTCCCTCCATGTATCTACATCTCACACTGCTGTAGTCAGCGAGTCTCGGATCACTAGTAGGACAAGCGTGATGCAGGCAACAAAATCTAGTGAAAACGGAGCACCAGGCTTAAATAAACATTCAAAATCTGTTAACTCATTACATGAAAGTAAACTTTCAGAGACATCCATCCATGAACATTTACAAGAAGTTAAAGAAACATCTATCTTGACTTCTGTTGCTAGTGCAAATACTGACCCATTGCTCAATATTTCTCATCCAAATCCAGCCAAAAATCCTCACCTAGGCAGCCAGCTGGACAGTCCAGGGGCAGACTCAGAAAATTCCAATAACGGGGGTATGTTACATGACTCTAATATGCAAAATGAGTTGGGTGCTGCTAACACAGTTTGCCATCTGGAAGGGAAAGCATACAATCATGATTCAGGGGTAGGAAGTTCCTCTGAAAGGTCTGATGACACTCCATCAGAACCAGGGGACGACCTCAAACTTGTACATTCTGTGGTTGAGGAAAATATTAAAGTTTCTGATGCATTGCTTAAAGTATCTGCATCCAAAGTTGTGACACAATCAAAACTTGTGACAGAAAATTCCTCTCAAGGATTGGAAAAGACCAACAAAATTGTGAATTCAAGTGAAAGTTTGAAAGTGCAAAGCACTTTGCATAAGAATGTAAACATGGACCTTACTGTGGGATATGCCATGTCAAACTCTCTTGAAAACAAACTTCAGAGTGACATTTCAGCCATGATGACCATGGACAAAGTGTTAAGTCATTTCAATGACAAAAATGTGTACAATCATATAGGTAAGAACCAAACAAACACAGTCCTTCATTGGTCGACCACAGATAAGTTTATATCCAATCAGATGGAGACCAAAAAGCACCCTGTTCCTAAAAGCCACACATCCAGTGAGACGCACAAGCACTTACCAGCACATCTGTTTCCTAAGCAGCACACTAACCAGCACAATAAAGTAAAGCGGAAAGTGGAACATCCTTTTAATCCACAAGCACACTTCTTTGCTGGTGGGTATAACACAAATGATTAGTTAGGAAATCATTATTTTAATGCATAGTTTTTGCTCTGTCTGTGTGCCCACAAAACCTGTTGATTGGATAGAACTAGGACTTTTATATCATGATATTTGTCTTGATGTGTATTATTTGTTAAAATGCTAGGATTTCATACTTTACATGAAAACATTAAAACTTGGTTATAGCGAAGTCACTGGGACCTATGAAATTACTTCGCTATAGCTGTAATTCGTTATGTTATATCTGTATAAGAAATTTGTTTAATTTATATAACTAGGGATCCAAGAAAACTTCGCTATATCAGTGTTCATACTAACCAAGTTTTACTGTATTTCCTTTTCTCTTTGACTTTTACATTGGAGATTAACATGCTATTGTCATTGAAAAACTTTAACTTTGGCTTTAACTTTTGAAAAAAGGTAGTTTGGTGCTAGAGTTTTTAAAATTTCACCTGCATTTTCCTTGTGACAAGAACATTCTTGGGCACCAGGTTTGACATATTGACCTTGGAGTTTGACCTACTTGTGAAAAACTTTACATGTAACCTTGGCCATAAATTTTTAATTAGTTCACACATTTTTTAACACAAAGGCCACATTTCTAAACTCAGAAATTGTTATTTATGCTTCTAGTGGCAGAAATCTTTTGCAAAATTTTGCAAGGCTTAGAATTGGTAAATGGTATTTTACATCACAAAATGCAAAGTATCTTCACCCAAGCAGTATTTTCTAAAATATCCAATAGTTCTTCAGAAAAAGGTTTCTTGCAAGGATATATGTGTGTATTTTACTGGTAATCGTATATGGCATAAATTACTGTAAACCAACTTTTATTTGTGTTGTGTGTGAAGTATTTCTTGCTGCAAACCATTCCTTAAAGTCTCTGTGTGTATTAACAACAGAAACAAAAAATGCTTGATCACGAAAGATAAACGTCGCAAACTAGTTTATCCCTGTAAAATTGCGAAAAAGTCATTGCAAATAAAAGTTGGTTTACAGTATTTATTTTCTAACCCAGAAAGATTTTAAATCGATACACTAATATGTGTGTCCTGAAGCTGATAATTCACGTGTGTGTGTACAGGGTGTCCCAAAACATATGTTACACTTTTAAATCGTTATAAAAATTTTATGACTCAAGTTACATTAATGAAATTTAATATATATGATAAAATTGTTAGAAATTTTTTGTCAAGCATACATTTGTCACAGTTTCCTTATTAATCATCAACATTTTTTCTTTAGAATTACACATGCCATTGTACAACATGTTCCAAAGTCTAACTGTGTGTAACCAAGCATTAAATGTAACATTCTAACAGTTAAGAGGTTTTTCCACATTAAAATTGGGTTTCACCAAACAACAGAATTTAAGATTCTCTTTAACAAAATTGTTAAAATAGAAGTGGACTTCATCGGAAAACCATACATCCGTTAAATTTTCAGAGTTGGGTCTTATTCAAATCCAATGGGAAAACTCTAAACAACTTCTAATTTCTGTCTCTTTCACATATCTTGTAAGGAATCAATTTTAAATCAAAGAGTATTTTATAAATACTAGATTTATCAAAGGTGCTATCTTGTTCATGAATGTAAGACCTGTCTAAGGGACCTTTGTAAAGTTTCAGTATAACTCTATCAATGGTACTAACGTTCTTTTTGGTCGGAGCACTCCCTAGTCTTCTAACAATGTGTCAATTATGGTGCCTTTAATTTCATGCTCCCTCACAAAACTGTAAATTAGTATTATGTTGAGCACTTTTATCAAATGATGTTGTTTTCTCATGGTTCTAATGACTAAAGTAGCAGATTTAGACCTAAAGTAAAGTTTACAATTTCTACCAGCTGTGTGTGTGTATAATTGTACAGAATTTCCCGAAAGTTTGTCAGATAAAATGTATGCTAATACACTACATGTTGACAAAATATCTTTGTGAAAGCTTTTGATTTGATTAAGTTATAGATGATTAAAAGTGTAACATATGTTTTGGGACACCCTGTGTATGTACATTGTATATAATACAGAGCTGTACATGTTGAAATTAAGTAATGTTATGGTCTCTGGATCTGTTTTCAAGGTTACAATAAATGCTTCCATAAAATAATTATTGACACAGCTGTGTTAATCATATATCCACTAAAAATGCAAATTTTTTCACTGGTAGTTACCGGTAGCAGGAAATTATTGCTTAATCATTTGATGTAATGTCAAAATTGACTGTGAAACTTGTGTACATAGCTTTTAGATAGATTAAATAAATATAATTTGATAATGCATAGTATATGTTTGTTTCAGACATTGAGGGGTCCTATCATCCTATGGTGTCGAGTAATGCTAACGAGGCTGTGCTTCCAGGCAATACAGTCAATGCAGTGTCAGCATTCTCCTCATCCTCATCTAGCGTTAGTCAACTGCCAGTGCCCAATTATAGCAAACAGTGTGACATTGGAAATTCTGCTGTAAGCAAAGTTTTGTGCAATAGTGATCTCCATTCAAGTATACAGTATTCATCTGGGTTGGATTCTAACAATTCCTTAAATTCTGTGATGTCCAAAGACCTTCAGATGCAAAGAAAATACTCAAAAAGTCCCCAGGAGTTAAAAGGAAAGTCATCTAGCTCATCAACAGCTAATTCTGTTCCACATCAGATGGACACCACTGTGTCCACTTTTACAGTGGGAAATTCTGTGGTAGAGAAAAGACTTGGTGATGTGTCTCAGGGAAATTTAGAAGGAAGTGTGGCAGCCACAACACTGACATCAAAAACTGTTCACTCATCCGACTCGAGTCGGAACGTGACCAACATGTATCGACGACGGTCACCCACTGGGCCAGGCACTTCTTCACATCAGCAGCATTTTTTGAACCCAGGGCTACCGTTGGCTAAAAGCTTGACAGAGTCTGTACAAAAAGTAGTGAAAGCCTTACCATCTATAGAAAATTCTACTCTACCTCATCAGCGGAAATCTCCTGTGAACTCATCTTGTAAAGTCTCATGCTCTTCATCACCCTCAAAACCTGTCAAAATTAGTGAAAGTAGAAATTCCTCTGGCTTGGACTCTTTAACAATAAAACAGACAATACCTTTATCTTCAGCAACTGTGATTTCGGAAACTGACTTGTCTAATCCCGGAGATCTTGTTAATTCCCTCCATGGCTTTAATGAGCACAGTGCATCTAGTCAGGGTATAGAAAAACTGTTACAGCTACAAAATAGTGCTCCGCTACCAGTTTTAGAAATTGAATCTAGTCATGAATTGGAATTCAGCAGTGTACCAGCAGAAAATCACTTGGGTGTTGAAATCGACTGCAAACAAAATTTTCATGATACAAAATCACAAAGTCTTCTCGATAAGTCAAAACCAAGTTTACAAGACTCTTCTATAAAAGATGAAAAAGCTAGTAGTAAAGTTGAAAACTGTGATAGACAATTTGAACTGCAAATATGTGAGCAGTCAAAGCAAAGACTGCAACCTACTGACAGTTTAGATAAAAATATCTCAAAATCTGTTCCTATGAAAAGAGACACGTCTAGTAGCACTCCTATTAGTGAACCTGCTGCTATCGAATCTCAGCAAGAGACTCCGAATCCAGGCCATTCAGAAAAAGACAAAATAAAGGTGGAAACAAAAGAGGAAAAATTAAAAGTAGAAACATCAGTTAAGATGAATCATTTACAGGTTAAACCTGATGACACAAAGCAGGTGGATGACACAAATCCAGGTAGTTCTAGAAACACTGACACAAAACAGAGTCCAAAATCAAGTTCCAAATCCTCCAAAGGAAGTGGGGATGCTATATTCAAATCAAAACGACTGGAGTTGGAGGAGAAGAACATGGAAGTGACTGTGGTAACGAAGGTGAAGCCATCTGAACAGAGGCAGCAGGACAAGTCTGAGCCCACAGTGCCTCCGATCATCATCAGAGTGAGGAAAAGTGCTGAATCAAGTGATGCTTCTAAAGGCATTCCTGAAGTATTGGCAGCTAACCCTGAAGAATCTCATTTGTCGATGACATTGAGGGGGAAAAGCACCTCCAAGAGTCCAGAAGAACCCGTACATAACCTCCGGCATTCTAAAGTCACAAAACAGTCAGTGGTAGAGCAGTCAGAGAGCAAATCTGACAAAAACACGGAAAAGGATTCCAACAAAAATGTAATATCTGATGATGAATCACTGAAACGTAACCTAAGACGGCGGAAGTGTGTCACAAATGATGGTGAACCTGAGGCTAAGAAAGCACTTATTGAGAATGAAGATGTGGCAAAACACACCCGCTCCAGTGACCTTAAAGAAAGTAACACAGCTGTTACCAGTAAAAAGACTGAGGCCCCTGTTCTTCAGAAAATGGACACTTCCAAAGGTGAAGAAGAAACTGATACATCTTCAGTGGTTGATGGTGTGAAGTCTGGTTTAAGAGCGCGGAGTAATGCTAAATCAGTAGAGGAGAAACAGAAATCATCTGGAGTAAAAGAAGTGAAGAAGTTCAAAGCAGAGGATGAAAACTTCATCAAAAACAAACAAGTTTCCCGCCAAAAGAAACTCTCTCCTACTGTTCCTACTGAAAAGACTCCAGCAAGTGGTATGGATAAAAATGTAACATGGTTTAATGTTAAACTTATCATTGATGATTGTAAAAATTGAAAGCTTTATTTTTATTTCAACACTTGAAAATTAATTATAAATCTAAAGAGAAAATCTGTAAAAAGTGTTGACTTTTGTAGCTATAAGAGAAAAGTCCCCTCTTCGTGGTAGTCGAACCAGAGGACAGACTTTACCAAATACAGAGGAAGACTTAAACAAGAGGTCTACAAGATCTGCAAAAACGAAAGGTGAAATAAAAGGTGAGACTGCTTCAAGATCATTTCTCTCATTCATTCATCATTATTTATACTAATTTAATGTGTATCATGCACAGGGTTTGAACCACTGTAGAAAGAAAAGAGATCGAGTTTTGTCATTTTGATAACCAAGTGTTCATTATGTTAATGCTCACAGAGAATGGAGAGGCATATTTTACAGCTCCCCAATTGAAATGACTCGTATTGGAAGGCTTGTATTAGTGTAAGGTACCAGTATTTATTTGATGTTGTGCAAAGCTTTTAATGGTTTATGCTGTCCTCTTTTTGGGTGTTGTTTATCTTGCATAATTTAAAAAAATATATATACTATTTAAATATATGTATGGAAATAAAATGAATGATAAATTTTGAAATGTATTTGTGCAAATTATTTTTCGAAACTGGTACAGAGCATATTTTCATATACTTAAATTAAAAGCTTTTATCATTTGGTAATATGCATAAGTTTATCAGAATCTTACTTGTATTACTGAATCTGATCAATTTTTTTTAGTTGAAATTTATATTATTTCTCCCCCAAGCAAAAAAAGCTTCATTTTACCTTGATAAGTGTATATACTTGTAATTATGTCCTATCCCTCAGTGTTGTTTCAAGTACCTATGTATTCATCTCTAGTATATCATTTGTCTTAGAGTCCATTTGAAATAGTAATTTCACAGTCCCCTTCTTTCCAAAACAGTTGCGATTATCATCAGATGAAAGTATTAATTAGGCTATAAAGGTTTTAATTAGGATTTTTCTTTTGTTTTGCAGATGCAACCGATACCCTACCTCCTGTCGGTAAACGACGACGCCCCTCTCGTGATCATAGGTGATGGGTGTGGCCCTGAGGAAACGGGAGAGCAGCTCGTTAGCTGAGTCTCCTTTTTACAGTGCTGGAACGTGACTTGCTGTCTCATGTACATAATTTTCCTTGTGATATAATCCAATGAACAGAATTATTGTACATGTATTGTGTTGTGTACAATGCTCATATTGTAATTTGAATCCAGGCTGGCTCTGATGTAGAAACTGTACATACTTGTAAATACTAATTGAATGTAAGATAATTGTACAGAATCAATTTTAGTGCTGATTTTTTCTCTCTCTCTCCCTCGTAAATCATTTCAGTTGCATTTAAGTGGAGAGTTTTTCTCTCATTTTTTGAAACAGTACTAGAATTATGCATTATGATAAAATGAAGGGTTGGCTATCCCGTGGAAGATGAACTGAACTTTAATTCTAATATGTGGGAGTGCCTCAATGTGGTTGCAAAAGAAATTTTTAAATGGGTTGTAGTGTTAATCCAAATGTTTTGTCGTGTGCAGAATTAATTACAAGTGGTGATATGTTTCAAAAAATCCTATTTTCATTCTTATGCTTAATTTTTTTAAAGTCGATACATGTTGCTTATACAAAGGTTTGTTATCTAGTAATTTTTTTTATCTATGTGGTTTGCAAAACAAAAGATCCTTGGAAAAGATAACTGTGCCAACACAATTCAGCTGTATCGTTTTAAATGTAATCAATATCAAGATTTTGGAGAACATTTTTTGGGATTGATTAAAAAAAAAAGAGCTACAATGAATGAAAGATTCACATGAAAAAATTGGAGGTGAATTCTGTTAATGATAAAATTATAGGTTTAGGAGTGTCAATTTACTGCCATTTTTTGTTTTTGTTGCATAATTTAATTATATATTTATATATATACAAATACTTATATGAGCTGCTTGCAGCAACTATGATAACTCTTATTTGGCTTGTGAATTGTTATATATAGGGCGCGTAAGAAATAATTATATATCCGTACTCATTCATTTTCTAGTCTACAAGAGTACTATAATTACATTACTGACCAATTGTTGATGTTATTAATATTATTATCATGTATAGATTATATGAGAGTTTTCTTTTTAATTGAGTGAATAACAGAGGAGTTATAAGCTTTTGTGTGCCAGTCTGCTGTGGACTGAGTTGCCTCCCTTTCTTTCCCTGAGTAGGTGATTGCTTTATGTGCTGTATATGTCCCCGTGGAGATTTCAGACATGTCTTCTTACTCTCATCATGTAGTTTAGCAGACTTTCGTCTTAATTTTCCTTGGTGTCAATTCAGCATATTTTTATTTTTATATCCATAACTGTGAATAAACATAGCTCACACATTTGAATACTTGTGTTAATTGTTTTTGTATGTGGTTGTTCAAAAGATTTAAAGTTTCAATGAAATTTTAATGATAATCCATTACAAAAAGAGAATTTCTAAAAACCATTTATCAAATGGAAAATGTGCATTATAAAGGGGAGTAACTATAAGAAGAAGCAGTATATTGTAATGTCAAGTGGAGAGGAAAAGACTGATATTGTGAAATGAAAATGTGACATATATATTGAAGAACAAAGGCAGTAGTAATGCATTTCACTGTTTTACAAATTTCATTGATGTAGGTGGTAGTTTTGTTACCAGCAATGCAAGGTTGTGAGTGCAGATAAAGGAAATGTAAACATAATGTGCAGATACAGAGCGTGTGAATTTCATTCTGCATTTTTTTTCCCTAGTTACCCAGTATATAAATTTGCAAATAATGATTTAAAATGAGTACATGTAAAAATTCCAAATTTTCACAATTATTAATAAATATTTTTTCTATGTTGGAACACCCTTAGGGGACCATAATTTGAATAGTATGTACTTCAGAATGAAATCAGAAGTCCATGGTGTACCCGACTTTAAAAAAATGTTGTCTAATCTTATGGTTTTATCCTACTCTACACCAAAAAGCAGAAGTTCTTGTATTTCATCTCAGGTCTTAAAATGTTGAGAAGAAATTTTTGAGGAATAAATTGTTATTGAATAGTGTACTATAAAGCGACTTGATCAAGGCCATTTGGAACAATATACATGTATTTGAAAAGAGAAAAGTCTCCAATAGTAAAGTATATCAAAGTAGGTTAATGATTGATAAATTGATAAAATATTGGCGAGAAGTGGAGGACAGCTGAAACTGAGTTAGATACATTATGCTAAAAATAAGTATTGATGCCTTAGTTGTATACAAGGACGTCCTGTGGACCTTTATTTGCTTTAATTGTTCATCCCTCATCAGGCTTCATGGGTTGGTCCTAAACTTTTGAACATTTTCAGCTATTTTTACTCAAACTGCTAAAAGAAAATTTCAATATAATTTAGTTTAAAGTATCTTACTGGCAAAAAGGGAAATTAAATTTTGTGGTTCGAGGGGCCTGAAAGGTTACTTTGTAATTTTCAAACAACCTTTTCTTTGATTCTGGACAATATTAGCCATCTGTTGGCATTATTATAACAAACAATAAGTTCTTTACCAAAATTAAAAAATGGATTGTAAAATTCTGGTATCAAGACGGGGCTCGATCAGTTGATTAATTTAGTGAAAATGCATTATTTCTTTGAAAATTTTTCTCTGTCCTTGGGCATTAAATTGATAAACAAATGCATAGTTATCACGAGCAACATTTTCTTCCAAAATTATTAATTTCATAGTCCCTACAATTTGCGTAACGTGTCAGTTAACGCGTGTTCTGTGCATTATCTCTGCTTTTTTACATTATAATATTTTTCTATCGGGATCGAGATACAATTATTTGAGCAAGGTGATTTATTCTTGCGCCGAAAATCTGCATATATTGTTTAATTTTTAATCTTAAGTATTAGTAAGATCTAGTTTAATGATAACTATAAATATGCATAAAATAGACAACATTAATATTTCACACAAAATTAAACTCTTGTCTAAAATAACTGGGTAAAACTATTGCGAACTACTTTTTTACAGCGTATGTGATTGTTTACTTGTTATTAGTAAACAGGTACACAACAACCTGACAAGAGAAAAGGTTTCAGTATGAGGAGTAAAAGGGAAAGAAAATGAGGATAACAGTTCAGGTATTCCTTATTAATTATCTTTTTTTTTCCTTGTGAATTTTATAATGACTTCTCAGATTATGAATTGTGGAGTGGATTTTATAAACTATGGTACGTATGGTGTTATAGATAAGAGAATATTAATTCAATATGTACTTGTTGCACATTGCATAGTTTTATTTGAAATGTTATCATATATGAGGATGATGAGTAAGGACACACAAAATCAACTTCATCAAACTTTATGACACTGTTGAAGAAATTAAAATGAAATTTGAACAATTTCTGTGAAAAAGAAATTGGCAAAGAAGTTGAAACAATATTTAGATCTAGTGTAGCATTGTCTTTTGTAATTTTATGTCATATAAATAAAGTAAAAGCCTCCAAAATATTATTAATTCAATATCAACCTATATAGTTGTTGTTTTATATCCTATATTTATTCTAGAAAAAGTAGTATTCATCATTTGTTGATGTGATACCATTTAACATCATCATTCAAATTAATTAATTTCTTAAAGTACAGTCAATTCTCGAATTATCGCCATTCGATTCATCGCCATTTTCGCAATACCGCCATGATTTCCCAAGAACGTTTTTCCTGCTATATAAAATTCTCTTTATAACGCCAAATTCGCATACAGCCATCCGCCACCCTGTTTTCATAACAAACGTCCATTTTTAAGTGTCAATTATCTCGATAATACCGCCACAGGTGCATGTGGTCAGTGAAGCATGGCTAATTGGTTGTGACGCTATCCCTGTTGTAAAGCATGTAAAGGCAGACAAGGTACATGCAATTAAGTAATTAAACAAGAATTAATAACATGAACTGTTATAATAATTTTGATTTCTGTTTATTAAAAATCATTTTCACGGCTTCGCCACGAAAGCGGTAGTTGTTAAAGTAAGCCGATAACGATATTATTTTGATGATCTCTGCCTTAAACGATGCTAAGTTTGCTAAAAAAAATAATTATACAGTATAACTTGTGAACATTTCATTATCGATGATGCCAGAAACAGTGAATTTATTGAAGAATTCATTTTACGTACTATCTGCAATATATCACGACGATCGACCCAGCATTTTTTGTTCACAGACGTGCAGATTTACAAGCATACACATGTACTTGTCTTTATTTCATAACTGCACATTTTTTTTAGCGAAATTATACATAAAAAAATTACTTGAAGTATTTTTAAATTTAGAAATATAATTTTATATACATGTTCATGTAATAATAAGAATAGAAACGCTAAATGGTATTTCTAAGAATGGTAACTCTACTTCTTGTTTCCTAAAAATGGGAAGTTCAATTCATCGCCAAATTCGTTATACCGCCATGATTTCTAAATTACAAAAGGTGACAGTTTATCGAGAATTAACTGTACTAGTATTTTACCCCTGATTTCTTTGATATCTCAAAAAATTCATTTGGTCTCACCAAATTTGAGATAACAAGGTTTGACTGTAATTTAAGTTTTGCAAAGTTAAGTTCATCTTCGCTAGCCAAGGGTTTCAGATATGCTACTCTCATCATGAACCCTTGGCATACAGTGAAGTGAAAAGACGGGATTGTTTTTGTCACATGATCTCAAATCAATCAGGTATGCACAGATTGCATCATCGAAAGAAATAAAAGGCACATATTTAAAATTTTTTTACAAGAATATTTAGGAAGCAATAATTGAGTTATGTTTATTTATTATTTATAGTACAAATCGGAAGCTTCAGTATAGATTCTTAATCACATACTAGCATTTAGAAGATATTGTATGACGCCATATATATTCATAGAATTGCATGTTATCTTACGGATAGTTGTTTACTTGCGTTTTTAATTTCCGAGATTAAAAAGTCAAGAAGTATCCCAAACGCAAATATCGTCATTTACAAAAAACAATTGCTGATTGGTCGACCGACTGAGAAAAAAAAACAACTACTATGAACACCGTATGCCAAGGGATCATGAGGAGAGTAGCGTATCAGAAACCCTTCAACATGGCTAGCAAAGATGAGCTAAGTTATTACTTTGCTTTACAAAGCTAAGTAATATATTACATTGGCAAAGTAATTGTGAATTAATTAATGAGAGGATCGGTAATTATTTGTAGAAAAATTAACTGTTATTTAAATTGACCCCATTCCCGGAGGCTGTATATCATTTGCAAATATTGCATTTCAAGTGCTTAATTGAACATTCAAAACAAACACATTTGACAACACATACTCTTGTATTTCATATAAGTTTGTACTTCCTCTACTCTCTTAACTGTTCTAATGACACAGTCACAAACACATATTTCTTTTTCCAAATTTATTGAATCAATTAGACAAAACATCATACTATCAATTTACAATTTGACAAGAAAAAGGGGACAATGGAAGTAAATGGCCACATTGTGTTAACCCAGGGTCCGAGGGGATATCCAGTATACCAACCTAGCAAGTATAACGGGCAAACTGGTGGCCTGGCGTTCAGCGCCAGTACCAAAAATCCCAAACTATAAAAATACCACCCATTTGGGATTGGAAGAGTTTTCAAAATATCCGTTTACCCCGTTTCCCAGTGATTGCACCTGGTTGTTAGTACTTTACCATGTACTCCAGGACTAAGTCTCGCCTCCTGTGTGAAGAGGTAGAGTGGGCACCAAGACTGTCTAACTTGAGTGACCCCAATCTTTGACACACTTTTCCAAAACACACACGTACATATGTAAAAATTTGCTTTTTACAAACCGCCCTCTGTCTTAGATGACAGATGGGGGGAAACCCTAAGGCCAGATAATTTGAAAACTTCCCACTTATATCCCCCCAGACCCGCCCCCCTAACACAATGTGACGAATGAAGAGATTAAGGTCATAACTTGAATAAAAAGTTCTAAAGTATATAGTTCACAGCAAAAGTCATATCTATGTCTCCATAAGTCATCTGCTTGGAAAAGGCGCCCACGATCCATTGAATCACACACGGCTTTTTTGGACTGCTCCTATTGAAGTTTTTTTTTTAATAAATTTGTCATTGTACATACTTGCTGCAGAGGGCATTAAATGAGACATGTTCTGATTCTTGTAAAATTGAATTTTGATTTAGACTTAAAGCTGATATATAGACTAACAAATCACTTAGATATATCTTTTTTTTTTATATAATTAGTTTCTTAGATCAAAATGTAAAGGTCCATTGCCAGCAGCAGAATATATAGACCTCTCCAATTCTGAAATAGGTAAGTAACATATATAATATTTTTAAACTTTAATGTAGATTTATTTTTCTACTTACTTATATTAGAGTGATGTTACATGTTCAACTGTCCTGGATGATGTTCTCTAAACAATATTTGAAATCATTAGAAGAGAGATTTATTAATTGAAGAATGTATATCATGTAAATTATTTTATATTTGCGTTAATATACATATTAGAACTTAAAAATTTAATATTTATACACTATAAAGCCAAATATCCTTTTCAACAGACTCTTTCATCTCCTTATATATATTGTACACTTGGAGAGCATGAACTGATCATTAAAAACCATGAATTTTGTGATTTGTCATAGAAAATCAGACAAGAATAATTGAAAAGGCAATACAAGTGATGAAGACATAATTTAAATTATTTGTGATTCATTTCAGTTGTAATAGAGAAGCTAAGTAACTGTCCAAAATTGCAAACACTTAGTCTAAGAGGAAATAAGATTTATGAAGTAACAAATCTGGAATGCTGTCCTCAGCTGTGGAATGTAGATCTTAGTAGTAATGAGGTAAGTTTGAAACGACCTCATCACAATTATCTAAATATGTCTTTTAAATTAATGAACTGTGTTTAAGAACTATTTTAGAATATTTAGGAACTATAATTATTTGGTCATTACTAAATTTAAATTTATGAATCAATACCTTTGTTATCATAAAGATAAGATGTAAACTCAAGAAGGTTCTGTGTCTTTTATGTGTGTGTGTTAAACATACTGAATTCATGACCTTAAAGTAGACAGTAAACTCGTATAGTACGAACAAGGATATTGCAAATTCACAGATACGAGGGGCATTTCAAAAGTTCTGGCAACTGTTTAATAAAAGATTAACCGTTTAACGGTAATTATTGAGTTTGATATCATTGGAAAGATCAGAAAAATATACACATATTGTGACATCACTTTGTAATTTTTATGACGTTATAGCTCGGAAAATGACGTCAGAATATAGAATGTTTAGCATACTGACCATAAAAATGACGTAACAAAAGATACAATTTGATCATATCAAAATTTTCTAGACAACTTTTGCTCATTACTCGGACGCAAGTAAACGGACGCAAATGCCAGTTGGTGGAATGTTAATATAGACTACAATCTATCATACTGCATTTTATTTTGGAGATCTTCTTGTTCTAAATTGGTTTTAGCGAGTGTCAAAATTAGCATGGTTTTATCGAATCTCGCTCAAACTTTTGCATGAAAGAGACCTAAATATGAGAAAAAGACAAAGTTGACAATCAAAGAAAAATAATCGATCGGGTTACAAAATTCGATGGCATAAATTCGTCAGGTGTTTTAACCAGATGTGTGGAATCGATGAAGGCTCAAGAGAAGTTAAGTTTAGTGTGCCCCATATTTTCACGTAAAAACCAAAATGGCGACAGGGCAGTTGTAACCCCACCGTACCTCCACATATTCGCAACTTGTAATGCATGGAAAATAAATAAGATTTTACATGTCTGAGTAACTTATATTCATTTTTTGGATTCAAAAGTCATAAGCAGTGGTGAGTTTGGGGGCGCCGAAGTTGAATTTATATGAAAAAATACGCACAGAATCAAGTGGGGGAAAGATTTATTACATTTTATTCGTAAACGGTAAGAGCCCTGTTACTCAAAATATATTTAATGAAAACTGCATTAATATACTTCAGTTTAATACAGAACATGTTTTATTTCAAACAATGTAGATCGATATAAAAGACCGAAAATCCAGCCGAATCATGTAAATAAAAACCTGAAATGAATGTCTATGATAGCATAACCGGGCATAAACCGTGCTCGTAAACAAACCATACAATGAATAATGAAATTGCTGATAAAGAGTATAATAGTCCCACTCTACCTCTTTGCAAATTAAAATTTTCTTTGAAATATTTTTTCAAATAAGCCTTTGACAGAACTTTTACGATTGTCTCATGTGGATAAAAACGCGACTTTTCAGTATGCTAAACATTCTATATTCTGACGTCATTTTCGGAGTTATTACGTCATAAAAATAACAAAGTGACGTCACAATATGTGTATATTTTTCTGATCTTTCCAGTGATATCAAACTCAATAATTTCCGTAAAACGGTTAATCTTTTATTAAACAGTTGCCAGAACTTTTGAAATGCCCCTCGTATAGCGAAGTTATCTTGGATCCCCAGCTATATAAATTTAGCAAATTCCTTATACAGATATAAGTTTTACATTACCAGTTTATGTTATTAAATTTTACAATGTTGTAGTCTAACTTTAGTAAGAGATTTGAAGATTAAATAAAGATCACAACCAAAATATACTTTTATTGTAGATTAAGAGTTTGGATGGACTCTCTCGTTTTGTTGCAATAGGAACATTAAATCTTTCTAACAATGACTTAACATGGCATGAACTTGGGAAAATTCGCCACATTCACATCCTGAACCTTAGTCTCCATGGCAACAGTCAAATGGAAAAAGATCCATATTGTAAGTATAAATTTGTAATGTACTTCAGATCAAACATTCACTAGTCTCTGTAGATGGATATAGTTGAAAAGGAAAGAGTGGTAACAGACCAGTAGTAAACATTTTGTAACTTTTTACAGGGAACCATGTGCAGCTCATTGATCAGTTATTTGATTTATAGTAACTTCTAAAACTTTCTATTTTATTAATTGTACACTAGGAAGATTTTATCAGCAAGGTATCTGTGTGCATGAACCAATTTTGTCTCAAATTGTTAGATATATTTGACAGGTGTACTACATTATTTCATTGTTGGAATTGCTAAACTAATCCCACAAAATAGATTTATTTTGCAGGTGTCTTTATAAAAAAATGTTTTAGTTTTCAAGTGACACATGTTAATTAGTTAATTTTAGTGGGAAAAAATCCATTGAAAATACAGTAATTTGTTTTTTTTCTTCTTCTTCTTGTTTGTGTTATGGAGCAGAAAATTAGGAATCTTTTTCCTGGTTGTCATAGTAGACATGCCAAGAAGTGTAACAGTGTAGAACATGCTGTTGCATGAGTTTATCTTTTACTGCTACAAACGTCCCTTTACAGTGATAAAATATCAGAATTTTTTCTTCCAGATATAGAGTCTTTTTGACACATCCAGTGTATTTACCATCAGTCATTTTGAGTTAAGACTTGTGGTCTTTGGCACATTGCATTATGTTTTATCTGATAATGTTCAATAAATAGGTTTAGAGCTTTGTGTCAATGCATTCAGATCATTTAGAACTATTGTTTGATTAGATCAGAAAGATGTAATCACAACGAGTGTTTAAATGGATTTGTATCAACAGTTTGTGCAGACTAGAATATTTAGCAAAAACAGAAAAAAATACGCATTTTTATGTATCCCAAGTATGTTTTTCTTCGAAGTGTCTATATGAAAAAGTTTTAATTGCATGTGCAACTGATTTCCAAGAGTTACCGGTATTAAAAATTTTTACCCAGATTTTAAATTTGAAACTATCAATAATAGTATGTAGACACATATTTAGAAGATATAGCAATGAAATTTATTAATTCCAATCCTGTGCTTGAATTTACATTCAACTAAAAAAAAAAACCAGTTTTGTTCTTGACTAAAATTTACACTGGAAGCTCAATCCTCTCTGTGAATGCATTGTCAAAAGCTAATCAAACACACGAAGGATAGATTTGTGTACATACTGTTTAAAGTAACTATAGACAATTCTACTTTAATTTACAGGGAAATATCACATGAATTTGATACCTGAAAGAAAGATGATTATAAGATATCTCACTTAAGTATCATCATTACTCGATGACTCTCATGTTCTTATGGTTTACACCAAATTATGAGACTTAATAAATTTATGTTATTTGTAAAAAAAAATATATGTTAGTCTTACTCAGTTACCTTAAGGAATTTTTTTTATTTTATTTTATTTTTGTTTTTTAAATATAAAAATGAATCAATACATGTTTATTCTTCTATATTTGTTTTTCAAAGTCAAAAATTGGTAGAAATCAATGCAGAAATGCTACTGTAATTGTTTGATTGAAGTATGAATGATTAAGTTTAAATTGCAGTTTTTATACTTAGGGTCAGTATACTTAATGGTTTACACATTTTGTTTTTAGATCGGATTCATCTTATAGACTGCCTACCAAATGTGTGGATGCTGGATGGACGTATAATTACATGTAAGGCTATTGATCTGAACTTTTAGTATTAGTAAAAGCAAAGTAAATTTAAATGTTGTGTAGGTATATATTCTTAGCACTCTATTCAAATGACTCAATTTGCTTCTTCAAATATTTTTAATCCAATAGAATGGTACACTTAATGATTACCATTAGTTTATGTAGTAACTTGAATAATGATACTGATCCATTTTGTCTCGTACTCTTCATTTCACCTGTGTTGAGGAATTTAAACACATGCAGTGTGTATTCTTTTGAAAATTCATTTTGGTCCAATAATTGTATGCTCTATTTACCTTTAAATATTGATTTGTTCCTTATCAGATTTTTTAGCATGCTTAAGGCCCAATGATGAAATTAGAATTGTAGTAATGAGATTTACACTACATTTATCTGAACCAATATTTACATCTCACTCAAACAAAATAAGTTGTGGCCAGGGCTGAATTTATCAATAGAGAATTTATGTTTGCTTTGAACCACCATGCAGATGACATATTTGAGAAAAAGTGTTTTTTTTCCTTTCCCTTTTCACAAAAGCATTAAATCCATATGCTCCCTTTTCAAAGGATTTTTAAATGTTCACCAGTTGTGATGAATTTCTAAAGAATGATTTCAGAGAGACACAGATTTTCAAATCTCTTTGATATGTGAAGCAACAAAACATAAGGATTTGTTTACTGAAAAAAAAATAATCACAAGACAAGGCCTAAAAAAGTGTTTTTTATTAAATGGAGATTGACAATCTGATAATTCGATCATATCCCTTTAAATGAAAGCATAAAATGTTGCATCCCAATAGCCTTTCTGACCTGTTAGATCATAATGGTACATGTATAGGTACTCAGGTTTTTTTTTTTGACAGACAGTGACTGGGGTTTTATTGCATTTTTTTATCATTGACAGTGACTGGGGTTTTATTGCATTTTTTATCATTGCCCATGTTCAAAGCATCGGTATTTGTTGTTTTTATTTAAATCCAATTTTGATATCATTAAAGCTGCTGAGAGACTACAAGTCAAGCACTTTTTCCAAGATTCAGCATTAACTTCTAAACCAATAGTAAGTAAATTAAAATATATATGATTTTGTAATGTGTTAAAAATATTTTAACTAAATCTCATCCTGTAAAGGAGACAGTTATATATTTTACAGTCTAATTAGATTTGCTTATTTATCTTTTTTTTCAATTTGATTTATTTGTTTGTTTTTTTTTCAGAGACACAAATTGTCCAAAGAATGGTTCATACCTACAGCCAGAAAAAGAGTAGATGTCAATGGTATCTATGGACCAAAGGTAAGTAACATTTATTCATATTTCACTTGTCTCTAACAAACTATATCTTTTTTGCCAAAATAATAGCTAGATTGGAATTTGAAATGATTAGTACTTGAATATGGAAGTAAAGGAAAACAAGGTTAAAGCAAATGTGCACTGGAAATTTTTACGTCGATTTTATTTTGCGAATTTGAGTCAAAATGCTGTTGATTAATTTTTACGTTTCAAAATTTTGCCAATGACCTCTGCTTTGTTTACATTTTCGTATTGGTGATTTATTTTTAAGAAAAATATTAATATTTTTGTGAATGCAACGAACTTGCAAATTTGCTAAAAATTTATCTACAGCAAAAATTTCCAGATTAACGGTATACATGCATATACAATGATCTCAGCCAAATGATTTTCATTCAAACATATTGCTAATTTCTCAAATTTTTATGAATTACATTTCAAATGTCAAATTGGTTTATATCTGGCATTTCTCTTTAAAGTTTTACACTATTATTCTAGACATAATTTTATAACATTTTTCAGTGCTAGATTTCCACTATTACTTTGAGATTAGGTACTGAATGTGAAATGTTCATTTTATAACATTATAGGCAACCAAAGTCATGACCAGTTTCCCAGCAAATGGTGTGCACAATATAGGTAAGCTTGACTTGGGAAAATACAAAGATTGTGTGACATTTTTTACAAATTATACTTTTTAAAATGCAGAAGAAAGTTTTTGAAGCATGTTTTTAGCTAAATACTCAGGAGAGATGTAAATATCATCTAATTGGTTGTTTCACTGAATGTGTGATTTCATCATTAGAGATAGACAAGAAGAGATTAAAATACCTTGGCTACAATATTCAGGAGGACTTGATCATAGACAAAAAGTACACAAATAGGTAGGTATTTTAAACCCTAGTTTCTCTTACTAACTATTAACATTTGGTTAAACTTGTTATATGATTTCAATTTTTATTAATTTTTTTTTTTAGAAAGTTTTTTTTTTCATTTTGTAAGCCTCAATGGGAACTTTTTTCTCATAAAAAAAAAAAAATTACAGTTTATAACAGAAAGTTTCAGTAGGTGGTTAATTAACCTACCAGTAAATATTTTGACAGAGAATTCCAGGTGATGAAGTACAGAAGTAACTTTATTGAGGATGGATTAAACAGAAATTGAGACAGAGAGAATTAACGGAAAAAATGCTTCTGTTATTTCTAGGGAAGTTGTTAGTGAAAATTTGGTGCATGTTTTAAAAATTTTTTTTCAGACCGCTGTGCCAGGAAAATTTTTGTGAAAACATGAACAGGTTGTTTTGTTTTAAGAGTATTTTTTTTAGAAATCATCAAAAATTAACTGTGCTATTGTTTATGAATATAAATATTTTAATTTTAAATATGATTAATTGAAATAAATTTTAAAATTCTCATGAACAAAATTCTACTAAAATTATCGTTATGTTGATATCGTTGATGGAGAGGTCCGACAAAAAAATTAAAAGCAGATTCAAAAATTTAACTCATTGATTTTCTAAAAATATATAAATTGTACCTTTAAATTGTTCTATTATTATGTATTTAGAATTTGGACGTAATACATGTATAACAGAAATATAGTGATTTTTCTCTAATGCGATTCCCGTGAAAACGACTGTGAAAATGACTTTCATTAAACAAACTTTTGTTAAAATATGTGTAACATGTATTCCAAAATATATAATAAAACATGTAGTAAACTAGGCTTCTCTGGAATTTGCCCACAAATAGCAAATTGAAATTTTAGACAAGACATCTGTAAAAAGGCTATACGGGAAAGGAAACATTAGACGAAAAGTTAACTTTGCCAAACTAAACAAGAACGTGATTGAGCGTCTCCAATATCACACTATATCTCATAAAAACCTGCAGTTTTTTTTTAAAACAGAAAAAGAATATTCTTTACTTGTTTTATAGACTGTAAGCTTGACAAGAAATGGTGTTTTTTTGAGTAGCTAAGGTTCAAACTATACAACAAGGGAAAATGTTAAAAATACAAGTATAATTACATATTTTTTATAATGCTTGTGAATCGAAGATTTTTGCGCCGTGACTTAATGGTATATTGAAAAATCACTCAAAATCAATACCAATTTCATTCTTATATGAAATTTTGAAGACCATATAATAAAGATTCTTTTATATTATTTGTGAAATTTTGTCAGATGTCGTCAAATACTGTGCAACAAGTCCGCGTAATTTTTGAACGGCCCTCGTATATAGGAAAATTCTTTAAAAATCTCCTCTCATTAATAACAAAACCATAATTGCTCATATTTATATGGAAGCATCCTCAGGTAGTGTAGATTCAAGTTCATTCAAATCATGACCCCGGGGGGTCGGGCGGGGCCACAATGGCCGACCAACATTTTACATTGAAATATATAGGAAAATTCTTTAAAAATCTTGTCAGAATAACAAAGCCATGTGTCATATTTATATGGAAGCTGTCAAGAGTTAGATCAAATTTGTCAAATCATGAGGATAACATGGCCATTTTACAATAGAAATATATAGGAAAATTCTTTTAAAATCTTCTTCTCAAGAATAACAAAGCTATAACTGCCATATTTATATGGAAGCATCGCCATTTTCAAGTTTGTTCAAATCATGACCCCATGATTTCCCCAGAACATTTTACATTGAAATATATAGGAAAATTCTTTAAAAGTCTTCTGCTCAAGAATCACAAAGCCATAATTGCTCATATTTATATGGAAGCATCCTCAGGTAGTGTAGATTTAAAATAGTTCAAATCATAACAAAATGGCCGTCCATATTTTAATTCTGTCAAAATCATCTTCTCAAGAATGGCAAAGCCATGATTGGTCAGGACTGCTTTTGGATTTAAACTTTTCAATAAGGAAGCGCGGCTAATTGGTTGTGACGCTATCCTCTTGTTCATTTTGTTGTAAAGCATCATTAAAAAAAAAAAGGCAGACAGAAAGGTACATGCAATTAAGTAATTAAACAAGAATTAATAAACAATGATTTTAACATGAACTGTTAGAGAGATTATTTTGATTTCTGTTTATTAAAAATCATTTCAGATTCACAAATTTTTGTGCAAATGAACAGATTGTTTTGTTGTAAGAGTATTTTTGTTGAATCATGAAATAATGTCATGTTTATGAATATACATATTTTTATTTTAAATTGATTAATTGAAATAAAAGATGCTAAGTTTGCTAAAAAAATAATTATATGTGGTATAACTTGTGAATATATTTCATTAAATTCAGCAATGTTGAAGAAGTTACATGTATCATTCAAGTACAATGATGAAATACTGGGTAGATGATAAATACTTTCATTAAACAAATTCATGATCATGTATTATTATTACGACAGGCTTCTCTGGAATTTGTACTACCAACACACCTGGTAAAGGAAACATTTACAAGCATACACATGCATGACATGTATGTTGTCTTTATTTCATAACTGCACAGGTTTTTTTTTCAACTTAAATTATACATAAAAAATTACTTGAAGTATTTTTTAAATTTAGAAATATAATTTTATATACATGTTCATGTAATAAGTCAGATGAAACGCTAAAGCTTTGGTATTTCTAAGAACGTTCAATAAAACATCTCTGTTTTATTTTCATTAGACAAGTATACTCCATGGACCTTTTCTTCTTACCAAGAGATGTGAGGTGTCAGTTAGTGTGTATTTTACTGGGAGCTGTCAAGATTGATAAAGATGTCAAAGAGGTGGCGGTTTATCGAGAATTAACTGTACTATTGTATATTATTTTGAATGAAAAAGGCTGAGTATGAAAGAGATCATTTGAAAACTCAAATGGGAGAGGTAGGCTATTGAAAAACCATTGTTGCATAGTTCTGCTAAAACAAAATTCTGTTTAATCTGAGGATTGAAAATTATGCAGATCATACAGAGTTTAAATTCATCCTATGCAGAAAATGTACATTTATAGTGTTGAAGTACTGATACTGCTTTAATGCTGCAGGCTAAAATATGACTTTTTTGATCACATTTTCCATTTACAATACAATCAGTCTTTTTTTAATGTGCCATATGTGAAATTTCTAGACAGTATCTTTCTACATATGAAGGCATATCATTTTCCCTATTTGCTACAGGATGGAGGATTGTATGACAAATTGTACCTGTGCCTTTTCTACACTGTCAGTGAGCTAGTCAAACTAAGCCATGCCTCTAATACCAAACACTCTCCTGTCAAATATAAACTCAACACATTGTGAGTAACATTGGACTGAAAAGTGACATACTAGCATTGTATTTGATGTTCTTGAAATGATTTCAGCTCTTAAAATATTTTATTTATTTTATCAGATATTATGATTACAAAACTCTCCTAGCATCAGAAGTGGTCCAGCTGCTGTGTATTGTTCCAGCCTTTTTCCAATATGTTGCCAAAGACGTTGGTATGTACTCTATGGAAACTTAACAATTTGTTTTATAATGATTTCAAAGTTCTAAAGGGTCATGCTTTTCTTTGACTAATTTCATACAATGTAAATAGAATGTTGGGGAGTCTTCGATCTGTTCCAAAAAATATATAGATATATCAAGACCAAAACAATGAAATTACTTTAGTGCTGTTTTGCATTTCTTTGAATTCTACAATCAACCTTTCTGAAAATCAACATGTTCTGTATGTTCTGATAACAAAAATCTTCAATGCAAAGCCTACACTTTATATTTCATCTAGTTTTCTTTTTTTAAACGTATCCAGGTGTGATGAACTTAGTGGTCACTGCTACTGGGGATCATGACATCAAACAAAAAATTACAGCTGTATCCACATCAGTGTCACAAGAAGGGGTAAGAATTTAAAAAAAAAAACACACAAATAATGGTACTTTTTTAATTCATATAGCTTTACATTTCAGACAGGTTTAAAATATCAGAAAAAAGAGAAAATCTGTGATAAGTAAAAACTTTATAAAACAATTTTTTTGAAACAGGGGGAGGTAAGAAGGTTGTATGAAGAGTTATCAGAGCTTCTGCTACAGAAAGTCCAAGAACAGTCCCTGAATATCAGCAACAAAGCTCCTAAGATGTCCAAGTGTGATGAGATCCTTACAGTAAGCTTGATTATTAAATTATTCTTCTTCTTAGGCTTTTAATCTTATTTTAAAATGATTACATTACATTCTTCTTAAAACCAGTCCAGGAAAGCCTTGCCAATAAGGAATTCTGGGTCAGTAGGAATGGCTGAGTTCCACGCTAAAGGGAAAACCAGTCCAGAAAAGGATCCTCCCAGAGTACTCAGTGCCAAGAGGAGTGCTGAAAGAAATCAAAAGAAATTTCCTCGTAAGAAATGTAGTATAAATTTAACATTGTTTGAAGGGAGATAATGTTGGTAGTCTAAATTGCTAGTGACTAACTGGTATAAAGAAAAAATTCTGGAAAAAAAATATTTCAGCTTAGAAATTTCTTATAAATATCCTAATCATAATTTTGTGGGAAATAATATGAGATACTAGTATATAAAATGAAATATTCTCTTTTCTGCAGATCTTGGAGACCCATTGCTTCTTGGACCACAGGTAGAGTAATATTGTCAGTCCATATGTACATGTATGTGTAAATTTATTTCTACTCACTTCCATCTTTCAAAAGTGTTTTAAATCTTAAATTCTAGTGTGCATTGACTCTTGGCATAAATTAAAAATGGATTTTTTAAAGTACTGCAGAAGTCTTGTTCTTATTAGTCAAACTTGAAGATATTCAGAAGAGTTTTGATTTAATTTGGACATCAAGGGCAGAGTTGTAACCATAGTTTGGACATGTGATAGTTCCTTATAATTGTTTTTATGTCTATGATTTAATTTTTCCCCAGACCCTTGGAAAGATTGTGTCTCTGCCTCAGCCTTTTGTTGCATTAGTTGCCATGGATTCTGTGCCAGGTATCTGTGAAACTTAGTTCTTAATAAAAACTACTGTATGAATTTATCAATAAAATCTTTTAACAATTAAAGCTTGTATCCATTAAATGATATTGAGAAGGTACTAAACTTAAAAGATAATAGTAATATTTAATGATATATCATCAGATTATCAGAAAAGTAAGGTTTAATAATTGCGACAGGTGGACTATCTTTGCAAGCAAAGGGTTTCTGATACGCTACTCTCATAATGATTATGAGGAAAGTAGCGTATCAGAAACACTTGTGTAGCAGATGCAGGTGGACTATGATTTTGATTTCAAACTATCTATATTGTGAGTATCAATGTGCTATTATAATTGTACTGTAAATTTTGTCCAGTTGCTAACGGAGCTATGGAGAGTAAGCTAAAGGTCAGTGAGGATCATTATACCTATGTCAACATGGATCAGCTGATGTGGGACGATGCCCTGTCCTTCTGGAAACCAAAGGGGGCTATCGGAGACAGGTAAACATAGAGGTTTTATTGGAGGTTTTATTAATTGGTAACTCAGAGACAGTTTTCACTTATAATGTAAACATTGGAGTATTCCACTTTAAGGAATAGTTACACATGTCATTTTTGAGAACTGAGAACACTATGAATGTTTTTGTGAGATCTTTTCAATGCAATATTAAAGATCTAGCTTAAGTAAAAGGTGTAGGCTAATTTTATTTTTTACCGAGAAATGCCATGCTTTTCTCTTACAAAAATAAAATGCAGTGATTTCAATTAATGTAAGATTTTTTTACAAGAAAAATAAATTCATTCTAGATTTACAAAATAAGTATTTTTAGAAATAACTTTAAAAAAAATTCTATTTATAGAAAATGTGGGTTTAATGAAGAATTGAGTATTTTTAGGGACAGGTTTTGATTGCAGTTCATTGGCTTTGAAATCTATCTTTAATTTTCTATTTTCATGTCTGAAGAAACATTTGAGTAAATACACGAAGGGTTCACAGCAAGAAATATCCACTAGTAAAAGAATTTTGCAAAACTTTGCAGATATTTTTTGCATGTGAAAGAAAGAGTACAATATATGCATTCAATAACTAAGCAATGTGGCTCTCTATATACATATCGAGCATTTTCAGTGAGCTAAATTGTAAATATTCCACCTTATGTTTCAGTTTGCTCTTGGAGTTTATTGCTACATTTAAGTATAAAAACAGGTATTGATACATGCATTTCATTTTAGTTCAATCTTTCTTTTTCATGTTTTCTTCACTTTTATCCTTAGACTTGACTTTTAGTAAATCTGTCAACTATAGTCATCTATTACATACTGATATTAATGATTTTTAGCTGAGAGGGAAATGTGGCACAAATTAATTTATACTTATATGTTAAAAACTAATCATCTGGAATCTAGTCCTTGAAATCATATCTAAAATTGTTACAGAAACATCCTTCAGTGAGTGGACATGGAATTTGTGATGCTCCTACTTCTCTTCTTTTACTTTATAAATCCATTTCAAAGAAAGCGTTAGTGGGGAATTATGTAAGCAAAAAAAATATTATAGTGGTACCTTGTTAGAGATTGAATGATTTGAAGAAAAAAACAATAAGCTGACTACTGGCATCATTTGTTGACCCAGAAGTTAAGACAATAAAATTTTGTGTTGAAGTCTTAATGGAAGTCAAAAATTGGTTCACTTGCTTCTTGTAGTTTGTAAAGTAAACATCTCAAAATAAACTCAAATATTATACATCAAATATGTTCATAAAATGTAAATTTATAATTATAACATTGTGTTTGAGTGTAATTAGAAACTTTCACTTTTCTTATTGTTCCACATTGACTTTAAGTTTAAAAAAACAGAAACATTAATTCTACTGGTCAGAGACCATAAGAGCTTACCAGGTAATTGCGGGTAACTATGGGTTTGGTGTCCATTGTCCATCTGGCTCTCTTTCTGTACCTCTTTTCATCTGTAACCATTTTTCAAAACAACACATTGCCAATGGTATTTTTTAGTAGAGCTACAATATCACCAGAAATGTCTTTGAAATCACATCTATGTAGATAAGACTCAGTAAGTTATTTGATGGTTCATCATAAATACATGTAAGTTGGTGGATCTTGGTAATCAGTTAAATTTAAACATGTCAGGATCTGCTAACATGTATGCAATGAGTACACTGTATTATAACATCAGAAAATAAAACTACTAGTATCAAATTAATACTATGTATTTAGTTTTCAAACTGCATGAAAATGTATGTTTTTTTTATCTAACATATTTATAAGTTATTTTATAAGAAATGTTATTGAATGCAAGAGTTAAAAAGAAGAGATGTTGTAGTCAGTCTGATGATTTATTGTATTTAACTATATATTATTACACATTTTTTTCACAGCTTGCTTGGCTGTACCAAGTCGTGCACATGCCTTTTTTTTTCAAATTTACTTTATGTATCTGCATGAAAATTTAATTAACTTAGTTTTTGACAATTTATCATGTAAAAGAATTAAAGAATTGTTGACATATAGGAAGCATAAATGCTACAGATCATAATAAAAAATATGGGGAAAGTTACATTCCATGAACTATCCATCTGAAAATTATTGAAACATGTTTGTAATGTATTGTTTAATGCTGTTGTGTGTTTCTTTTTTTTTAAATAATTGCTCAATGATAGATACAGTAAGTGAATCTAAGGACAAGTTCATATGCTGAAAATAAGACTGGTAAAAAATTAAAAAACAGTACATGTATGTGCTTTTGTAATTTTGAATGTTGATCTTGATTTCGTTTTGAATTACAGACTGACACTACACACTGTGGAGGACTTACAACGAGAACTAGAACTAAAAGCAAACCTAGCAGACAAGACTCAGAGACCCAATACCCCTGACTGGATAACCTCTAATGACCCTAACACGCCCCTCATTTACTCCCCGAGGGTTCCTCCTGTCACCCCTCCAGAGACCCCCAAAACTAAGGTAATGACAAAGAAATAAACTGCAATACTTATCTGTGTTAATTTACTGAATATATTTAACATAAATTTTGAAAACTATGGAAGACTATAATATGTATCACCAGATACAGCTAATATTGCTTAACATTACACCCATAATTTTTTTCTTTGCAGTTAATGGTTTAATTTTATTTAGTAGTACTAAGTGAAATTTTGTTTACATGGGCTGTGTTTGCTGAAATGTTTAAATGTTACTAAAATTGTATTATGATAAAAAAAAAATATTTATGGCTTAATGACTGAAATTTTAATTTTCTTATTAATTCTTACTCAAAAATCAGAAAGAACTTTGTTTTTTCTTGTATTTTATTTTAGAGAAAGCATGTTAGAATTAAGCAGAGTTGCCCCCCTTTGGTAATTTTAAATTTTGGGGAATATATACAAGGAAAATGAATATTTGTGCTTTGTATACATGGGGTTTTGTTCAACATATAACCAGAGGGTTGTAGAGTGATATTTTCTTTATCTCTGTCTGTAATATTGAAATCATTTCTAATTATGTATCACATTGATAACCTTTGACCTTCTGTTTACTCCCAGCATTATGAGTTGATCATGGGAATTTTACCAGATCGGCTTTTTCGTCATGTTACTATATTCAGGGTAAGACAGTCACTTTGTGACTCCCTTATTTGTTGTGGCAAGTTACGTCTGCAAGTGAATGTGAATGAATGCATGGCCAGTCATCATGTAAACAGATCATTGTTTTAGTCAGGGTTATACAGAAGAGTGTTCCAAACACTGCTGGTATTTTCACAATTATTTGCTTATTAGATTTCACACTGCCAGATGAGTGTTTTCTTAATAGATTATTGAGAAATGAAAAAGATGAAATTCTGTTAAAGTGAGATTCACCTATGATTTAGTACTTAAATACATGTACACATATTTCTTATGATAAGTGATAGCCTAGAGTATATCCCATCACCACCTATGGAATCAGGATGTTGCATGACCATGACCCTATGTGACAAACCTGCATGTTTTTTGTTTAGATGGAATATGATAGAATTGTGATAGGCTTTAATTCTTTGCAGTTGTAAGAGATAACATGTTTAACATACCATTCCTTGGTTCAATTTCAGTTTACTTAGTAAAATTATATAAGTATCTTTTATTTTATTTTCATTTTTATACACTAGTACCTGGTCATTAGTTTATATCTACAGTGATGTACTATCAGAGCTGATTATTTGGAGTTGTAGACTATTTCATTTAAAGTTTGCATATTATTTAAAATTCTTGAAAATGTGAAATAATATCAATTTCTTTTAAGGTGTGAACCAATGAATTACAGCTTAATTTATACTATATATAGAGATAGGATATGATTTTCTGATTTTAATTAACAGTCCTTAAACACTACACCAAGACCAATGTCTTCAGTTTTAAAAGACAAATTGGACTTGAAGTTAGAAATGAGTCGCCGGGCCATGTCCGCAGGAGGTGCACTGGAGCGTAACCACCCCCATCAAAATCAGGTTCATGTTCCAGTAGAGCAGCAGCCAACACATACAACTCCTGAACCAGAGGTAACAAAATCAATTGACCTTTTTTGTAAATCTGCTGTCAGAAATATTTTACAAGCAAGTTAATTGTATATTGAAACGTATCATGTTCTTTCTTCCATAAATGCCAGTGGGGTTGAACTGGATTTTAGATCAAGAAAATTTTCAGGGCTTTCAATAAATGAAGGCAGGAAGCCATTTTCCACTGTTTCTATTTCTCTCACCTTTTCATAATTGAAAAAAATAAATTTTTGGAAATAATTCAGAAACAGTGCTAGACTCTTAAAATAATTAAATTCACCTCATATCAAAATTTTTCAAAACCCTGACTTTAAATATCTGTTTGATAAAGAAGTTCCAATTTTCAGACAAAAGAGACGAGTACGGAGACCGAGCCCCAGGCCCAGAAGACAGAACACGAGAAGAGTGATGCCTGTCTACACTGTGCTCTGGAAGCGGCCATGACAGAAGACAAACACAAACAGGTCAGGAGAGTTTACATTTAATTAAATATTTTTTAATTAACCAATAGGTCATACAGTTAACTCATCTGGTTCAAAGACTCCACTTACATTTTGTAACCAGAGATTATTTTGCAATTGATCATTCATATTACGAGGGGCATTTCAAAAGGTCCGGCAACTATTTAATAAAAAATTAACCGTTTTACGGAAATTATTGAACTTTGATATTTTTAGAAAGATCAGAAAAATATATACATATTGTGACGTCACCTTCTAATTTTTATGACGTAATAACTCAGAAAATGACGTCAGAATATAGAATGTTCAGCATGCTGACCATAAAAATGACGTAACAAAAGACACAATTTGATCAAGTTAAAATTTTAAAGACAATATCATTACTCGGACGCAAGCTAACGGACGCAAATGCCAGTTGGTGGAATGTTTACATAGACTACAATCTATCATATGGTATTCTATTTCAGAGATCTTCTTGTTCTGAATTGGTATTAGCGAGTGTCAAACTTAGCATGTTTTATTGAATCTCGCTCAGACTATTGCGTAAAAGAAACCCAACTGTGAGGAAAAAGAAATAGTTGACGATCAAAGAAAAATAGTCAATCGTGTTACAAAATTTGGCATAAATTCGTCAGGTGTTTTAACCAGATTTGTGGGATCGATGAAGGCTCAAGAGAAGTTAAGTTTAGTGTGCCCCATATTTTCTCGTTAAATCCAAAATGGCGGCAGCGCAGTTGTAACCCCACTGTACCTCCATATATTCGCAAATTTTAATGCATGGAAAATGAATAAGATTTTACATATCTGTGTAACTTATATTCATTTTTTTGATTCAAAAGTCAAAGCAGTAGTGAGTTTTGGGGCGTCGAAGTTGAATTAATATGAAAAAATATGCACAGAATCAAGTCAGGGACAAGATTTAGTACATTTTATTCGTAAACGGTAAGAGTCCTGTTACTCAAAATAAATTTGATGAAAACTGCATTAATATACTTTCAATTTAATACAGGACATGTTTATTTCAAAGAATGGAGAGCTATAAAAGAGACCGAAAATTCAGCTGTATCATGTAAGTAAAAATCTTAATGAATGTCAATGATAGCATAACCAGACATAAACCGTGCTCGTAAACAAACCATACAATGAAAAATGGAATTGCTGATAAACAGTATCATAGTCCTACTCTACCTCTTTGGAAATTAAAATTTTCTTTGAAAAATCTTTTCAAATAAGCCTTTGGCAGCACTTTTACGATTGTCTCATGTGGATAAAAAACGCGTCTTTTCAGTATGCTGAACATTCTATATTCTGACGTCATTTTCTGAGTTATTACGTCATAGAAATTATAAAGTGATGTCACAATATGTGTAAATTTTTCTGATCTTTCCAATGATATCAAAGTCAATAATTTCCGTAAAATGGTTAATTTTTTATTATACAGTTGCCAGAACTTTTGAAATGCCCCTCGTATAACATTGGAACATGTTTTGAATTTATTGTCTTCCTCATGTCATTTCTAAGTAAAAAGTTATATTTGATGCTAGCATAATATCCAACTAATGGCATATTTGAGTTAAATACAATTTGTTATTGAATTCAGTTCTAGTATTACTGTCCCGATTTAAAGCATAATTGCAAAATTTGCACCAGTTATTTTTTGGAAAGGAGATGATCATTAATTCCAACAATATTATTCATTTTTCAAATGATGAGCATTATCTTGGATATAAACATAGTGAGTCTTGTATGTAAGCCTTTTCATGTTGAGGTTTGTCACACTGAGAACATAGATTAATTAATGATGCCATAAAGGGTACATTGTGATAATCTTTTCTGTCTAACAGTGGTTCAGCTAAGTAAAGCATTTTAATAAATCCACTCTCATTCTAGCTGATCAATTTTTAATGAGAAATGACATGAAAAATTAAACTGAATCCCTTTATTTTAACATTAAAAAAAAAAGAATGTTATTTTGTTACATTTGCTCATTCTAGAAATTCTAAGTAACAATAGAAGAGAATAAAGAGTAGAATAATGTTAACAGTCAAACATATTCGATATTTTAATGAATCGATAAAATTTATTGACTTTTTTACCATGATACCATTGTTTTGTAATATTTACAATTCACTGAATGAATGAAGAACTAATTTAAACTAAATGTATTGATTACTAACAATATGAATGCCAAGATGACAGACATTAATTTATGTAGCTGCAGAACTGTAGCTCTCTGCTTGAGAAAATTTGGACAGATAAAGCAGAGAGCTAAAAACCTTCGATTTACGCCGACGATTTTTTGTCGCTCATTTCGGGTATTCTTCTTGTATTTTATACTTTCCCCAGCTTTAAAAGTGGTATTTGATCATTAATCATACATTTTACCTAAATTATGATTATTATTTACTTACCTTTCAATTCTAACAAACGACTTTTTGTGATTACGGACATCGAAATGAAACTCTTTTAAACCAACATTACAAAACTATATGTACAGGACTGTTTCGGACCATTAAATGGTAAATGAAGTATCACAAATAAGAGTTAAATATATGATTAATTATAGGATACAATTCTAAAAGCCAGAAAACGCTTAAACTACAAGAAATAAATACTTAAAGTGGTGACAAAAAATCGTCGGTGTAAATCGAAGGTTTTTACAACACTTGGATCTGTAGCTCTCTGCTTTATCTGTCCAAATTTTCTCAAGCAGAGAGCTACAGTTCTGCAGCTATAATTTATGCTGAAGTTCCAAACTTTCTGAATTTCCTGAATTAGTATTTTTTAATTTACTTCAAGTCAAACTAACTGCATCGAGCTCCTTTGCAACCATTTGGTTCAAAGGAGGCAGTGCTTAAACCCCCCCCCCCCCCATTTAGTTTCTGTTGTGTTAAGTAATGAGGGTAACAAGGTTATTCCTTGAGGATCAGTGTCTTACAAGTCTATGTCAGTTTATAACCTGTCCAACCAATTCAATCAATATCAGTCTATGTCAGGTTCTTCTCTGTCTCACCAGTCTATGTCAGGTTCTTCCCTTTTCCAACCAGTCTAGGTCAGGTTATTCCCTGTCACCCTTCAGTCTATGTCAGATTATTCCCTGTCCCACCAGTCTATGTCAGGTTATTCCCTGTCCCACAGTCTATGTCAGGTTATTCCCTGTCTCACCCTTCAGGTTCTTCCCTTTTCCAGCCCTACGTCAGGTTATTCCCTGTCACCCTTCAGTCCATGTCTGGTTATTCCTGTCCCACTAGCCTACGTCAGATTATTCCCTGTCCCACCAGTCTACGTCAGGTTATTCCCTGTCACCCTTCAGTCCATGTCTGGTTATTCCTGTCCCACTAGCCTACGTCAGGTTATTCCCTGTCACCCTTCAGTCTATGTCAGGTTATTCCCTGTCACCCTTCAGTCTATGTCAGGTTATTCCCTGTCACCCTTCAGTCTATGTCTGGTTCTTCCCTTCACCCCTCAGTCTATGTCTGGTTATTCCCAGTCCCACTCGTCTATGTCAGGTTATTCCCTGTCACCCTTCAGTCTATGTCAGGTTATTCCCTGTCACCCTTCAGTCTATGTCAGGTTATTCCCTGTCACCCTTCAGTCGATTTCAGGTTATTCCATGTCACCCATCAGTCTATATCAAGTTATTCCCTGTCCCACCAGTCCCTACCAGGTTATTCCCTGTCCCACCAGTCTATGCCAGGTTATTCCATGTACCACCCATCTTTGTCAGGTGTATTGCTTGTCCCCTTCAGTCTATGCCAGGTTCTCCCTGTCACCCTTCAGTCTATGTCAGGTTATTCCCTGTCCTACCAGTCTTTGTCAGGTTATTCCCGGTCCCACCAGTCTGTGTCAGGTTATTCCATGTACTACATGTACCACCAATCTATGTCAGGTTATTCTGTGTATAACCAATATATGTTGGGTTTTCCATGTACCACTAGTCTACGCCAGTCTATTACCATCTCTTATTATAATACCTGTTACAGTTTGAGATGCTGTTGAATACCTAAAGTAACATTGTCACCTGGAGTAAAAGGATTCAATTTTAATTTCACTGCAGGAATTTGAAGTCATTGGAAGCAATAGCTGTTTCGATAACACAACCTGTTTAATTATTAAAATATCATTGTTTTCTCCTATAAGTTTTTATTTCAACACCTGGCACTTGACAATTATTTGCCCAGTGATGTGGTATACGCTATTCTGTGTCGCACCTTTATCCTTGGGTTGATAAAGTGTGGTATTAGAGGGAAATACATCATTTATCACTGATAATCAGACAAATGTTCCACAGGCCAAAGATACGCATTGATTTATCATTGATTGTAAACATTGACATATTTTTTTAAATGTGAATCTCATGTTAATATGTAGGGATATGAAGAGGTGCTATAGTTAACGACTTTTCATTTTTTCAACCAAAAAATAATGATTAGAAATACAAATGAATAAAACTTTAAATTAAATCAACAACTCTGCTTAGGTATATTAATTCTTTGTTTGAATTGGGGTATTTAAAATCCAAGGATTCTGTATTGCACTAAACATTCATGACATTTCTATTTATTTGAGGTTATATGCAATTTGATTGAAATAAATTTTTCTACAGTTAGGGAAAAATTGCAATTCATAAAATAAGATTTATCTTGTTTAATCAATTTTGCACATATCATTTTCAAATTTACTCATACTCATACACTGAGTACATCAAAGTATCTAAGGAAGCTATCAATTCAAACTTATCAATATCAGCACATTGTCACCTCCATAACCTCAGGTATATCATTAACCACAAGGAAAGTTTGAATCAGGATGGGTTGTTTGATTTTCTGAGATGCTTTCATGTTAGGTTTATTAATATTGATCTATCTTATTCAATAAAACTTGCTGGATTTCCACAGGAGAAATCCTTTCTAGGGGCAATCATTAATGGGATATATTATGTAGAATATTGACATTCAAGGGATTTTATGCCAATACTTGCCACATTTCCTTTAGTAACATTG